ACCTCATACTGACCAAGGGCCATCAAGGCAGAGACTCTTGCCTTTGTCCATCGGGAATCATGAGGCATCTGCATAGAGCTCCCAATTTCCCACAAAATGTTCAGAACCTTTTCTGCATCCTCAGGATATGCTTCAGCATCCATTGCACCCCACTTAAGAAGAAGGCAGACACTACAACATATTCATCAAAATAATGCTAGACGTCAAATATTTGTTTAGGCACCTCAAATTACAATGGCTAAAAGATCCATGCACCACTTTGAACACCTTAATCGTGCCTGTAAATATGATTCGGGATATGAACTCCGCTAACCTATGAGCAAGGAGAGGATCATGTTTGATGTTTTGAGCATGCTTCTTAATGACACCCCATGCCGTATAGAAATCTAGATGGACAAAGCAGAAGTTACAAGATAAAATATGACGTGAAATACAAACGAATTGACTAACAGAAACAAGCATCAAGAGAGTACCAATGACATCGGCTTCACAAAGATGGGAAAGGCTCTGAAAACCAAGAGCTCGAACTGAGGAGTCTTGGCTTTCTATACAGGCCTATCAGAGTGTGAGTCCAGTGGAAAATTTAATGGCACTCCAAAAGTTTCAATATATAGCCAAAGCAGTAACAGCAAACTCGTTTGAGAAACTATACCTGAACGGACAGGATTAGGTCTACTCCCCTATCAGGGTGGCTCTTGCATACATCATGAATGGAAGCAGCCATACTAATGCAGATATGTCTCTCCGAAATAAAGTCTACAAATCCTTTCGGACGTAACACCTCCTGAGTACTTAAAATAATTAGAAACAAATAAAAATAGTACAACTTGACTTCATCAATGTTGAGCAAAAATTCATCTAGTGGTAGAGAATAGCTTACTTGCAGACTCGGAAAGGCACGGTCATTGACTACCCAGGTCTGGCAAAGTAATCTTATGGCTGTAGCATACAACAAACTAAAATGAACCATCATCAGAGCTACACATATCAACTTCTTTTCAATGGCAGTACAGATATTAAAAAAGGTATAGCGCAGAAACCCGATTCAACAAGATTGATAAATGTAGGCTAAAGCATGAAACATCATATACTACTCTTTGGCTTCTAAATCTACCTGTTATATTATATCATAAGCCCATAATCTGAAAAGTTAAAGCTGTTTCCAAAGACTACCCGTTTACTAAAGAGCAAAGGTGAATATCGAGTATTGCAATGACCAAGTAAAGGTTTCAACCCTATTATGAATACGGTTAAAAAGAAACATGATACACAAGAAATTATCAGAAAATGGTGTACTGACCCTTTCGCATCCTTGTGTAGCATTGGTGTAATAGTCTGAACTACAAGTGGAATCATCACCTGTTGTGCAGCTAGTGATGGGAGCAATCCCAGAAGTTTTGTCTGCAAGTCAAAGAAATTAAATGGGAACTAGACTAAAGGAAAAATAAATAAAAGAAACAAACACTTAAATTTGAAGATAAAGGAGTTAACAAAAAATGAATGAGAGTAGTCTCACCAATAGACTCTGACAAGGAACGTCAGTTCGAGATAACAAGTTGCTGTAATATAGAACAACTAGCAATAGCGGGACACTCATCTTCGGGTCAATGCCACCAATAGCACTCAAAGAATCAATAGCCTCAGGTCCTAGGGATGGATGCATCACCAAGACACCAGCAACAGCACCAAGTAAAATAGGTATCACTTGCGAAAGACTAAACGATCCAGATAACTTTTTCCTATCACAAAACCTTTCAGCATGTTCCATAAGTAGTGAATTCCAAGTCGCTGATCCAGGATAACTTTCCTGTGTTTCACTTCCATTGATGTAAGCCACTCTGAGGAAGGAAGACGTGGAAGGTGCATAGTCATTCTGGAAAAAAAAAGAACATTCAAAGACTCAGTGAGCAATTTGATTCTTAGTTTCTTTTGAGAAATATATTGATATGGGCATAAATCAAATAAATATGCGTAACTCTCGAAGGAGTAGCCATTTAAAATAACCTAACCCATGAGTGGATCTATGCAACGTATTATAGAAAATAGCAGGTTCCTCCACAGAAATTAAACCTGATGCCAGAGTTGCTGCATCATCCTAAATACGACAGAGCCCACCCGGCTGAGTGGTGAATATTCCTTACTTGTGTGGACCTCAATCTTTGGTGCATTTGACATTGTTACCAAGACATTTTCTACGATGGAAAGAACCTTACTTGCTGCACCTTTGACTGATTTAGAAGGAGAAGACATCAGTGCGATGATAGGGAAAAATAATAGAGGCTCCACACTTGAACAGGCTGCATCTACCGACAAATTTTCTACAAAAGAATTGAAAAGAATCAATTCTCAGTCAACAGAAAATGCACACATCACTTTTTGTTTGCCAAAATATAAAGAAACAGGGAGTCATGCTATAGCAAGACACACCAAGTTGACTAGTATAAATTAGCTACTACACTAATAGACAATAAATCGAGCAAGAGTGTAATGACAAGAAGACGGAGACTCGGATATACCATTTTCACTTTTCCATTTGAGCAAAAAATGCAGGAACTTTAAAATGGAGAGTTGCTCATGCTCAACACTGGACTTGGCAAGCATGAAAACTAGCGAGAGAACCACCAAGGATAAATCACTTGAATATGTTAATCCAAGGTCTTTCTGAACAGCTAATAAGTGCCTCAATGATTCGATCACAGGCTCTTGTTCGGTGTTTTGGACATGAGGAGAGGCACAAAGCAAAAGTACGGTATCTACCAGTTGCACACCAAGCAGATGAACTTCCATTACTTCCTGTTAATATAGATAAATGAATGAGTGTCGGAGAATGAGCACAAAGATAAAGATGAAGGCATGATGAGGCAATAAGCACATACCAATCTAGTTCCAACCAAGTCTCTCGCAACCACAGTGTAGGCATCCACTAGAGTCTTGACAATGCAGCTGAAATTTCTATTGTCCTGAATAGTTTCATAAATTTAGAACAGCGTCCTAGAATTGCATCTGATTACGTGCATTCAACAAACTGACTGACAGTGAAAGCTATCGAAATACTCAGGCAAACATGTAAACTTACTTCCAGATTTTTGCCCGGGATATAATTCAGGCAGCGGATAAGCAATCTGAATACTGGCAATGCTTCGTGGCGGCATGAGCAACAAAGAGAAGCCATTGATGAAACTAATTCCCTCGCAAACAAAGATGACGATGAATCTGTAAGTGGGATACGCAGTATTGTGAAATTCAGGAACGGCTCCAAACATTCACATACTCCCACCATTCCCAATCGCCGATTATGCATCACAAAGAGTGATACTTGGTGAAGAAGCTCCGTCTGTGCCTCCGCTCGACTAGAAAGAATCTACAACCAACAACAAGGAGAAGCATCAAGGACTTACTAATTTCGGCTTAATTTTCACGGAACATGGACGCATCCATGGATCACATACCCTGACAAACGGATGATTCTCCGTCGAATTGAACTTCCAATTCCCATCTTTCTGTTCGTAACCAATTCGAATCAAAAACCCTAAACCCTTCACAAAGAGGGGAACTAATTTCGAGTCGCATCCTTCGAGTGCTGATTGGAGTTCCAGCAAACCGCGGGAGAGGTCCAGAACGGAGTCTGATACTAATCGACATAGCTCACGAACGGATTGATCAACGACAGTGGGAGATGCGGAGGTGAGGCAGAAGGAGATAGCTTCTCTTCCGGCTTCGGATTCCGAACCCAATCGTTCTGGAGCAGATCGTAACTTGGAGAAAACGGAAATCACAGCGAATCTCTGTATGGAAGGTTGAGGGACGCGAGTTTTCTCCAGTAACGTAGTATACGAGGCCATCACTTTGACCAGAAGAGAGAAAAGAAGCAACGGTCACTTCGGAGGCGTGAACGGAGGGCTGAGGAATTTTTCAGCTCCGGGAAGGGAAAGTCCGACCAGCCGGCACTCGATAACGGGCCGTCCCGATTTGGCCCAATAAGCCAAAATCAAAAACTAAGGGAAATTGCGTAAATGAACCCTGACTTTTACCAAAAACAATAACTAAACCCCCTAACATTTTTTGAGGGATATAAAAACACCCACCTTTAAGGTAATGTACGTATCTATCGATTTCCGACAAAAGTATATAATATGTACCATCAAGATAACAAAGGTTTTATGCAATAGGTGGGTATGTCATTTCCCAAGTTTTGAAAAATGTCAAATTGTTTGAGTCGTTTAATATCATCAGTGATAGACGATACCGGTTTCGAATGCTTAAAGATATTCAAATACATAACATAACAAGCAATGTATGAAAGATCAGCATGATAGACAGGCCGTACAACAAAAGATGTAACCCAAAAGTTATAAAATTACTCATTAAACAAAGAAATAAAGTACAAGCTCACACTTCAATATAAGGATTGATCATGGTAGAGACAAGTATATATTATCGTCAATGTAAGGACTGATTTTTCTTGCATATGTCGTTGATGCGTGGTGAATAATATCTCATTTATCTCTCATATGATTCAACTCCTAACACATACTAAAAAACTTGACAATGGCTTAAAGATCCATGTTTACGGTTACCTTCGATGACTTAGAATTTGTCTCATCCTTTAAACCAGTCATAAAATCTTAGTTAGAGGATGGTATGGATTTCTGTTAGAAGTTGAGTTCTCTCTATCTAAGAACTTTCATTTTGTGTTTATTTTTATAGACATTTTTAACGGTATAAAATCCACTTTTTAAAAAATAAACTCCAAAAATTCATCTGGATCTGGTATGAAATATCTCGCTATCTCAGAAAAGAGGAAAGAAAAACAGGTTTATTAGGTTCCAAAAAAAAAAAAAACAGGTTTATTTTGTTTTTTATTTCACTCACAAGGTATTTTTATTCGGACACGACAGAACGTCAAAACGAACGTACAACATATTGACAAAATATTCTAGAAGGAAGAAACTGGGACATAAAAGTAGAATTACACAATTGCCGTTCCAACAGAAGCCCACAATTTTATGATCCAAACGACCTCCTTCCCTTACCCTGCTCGGTGGTCTCAGTGGTCAGACTAGTCTCACGGGCTTCATGGGCCTTATCTTGCACATACTGGCCCATCTCTTTACCTTTCTGACCAGCATAGCCTACCGCATCAGCCATACGCCGTTTGGCATAGTCCAATTGCTCCGGGACTGTATCACTCGTCCCACGGAGGTAGTTTAGGACCCATGAGACCGAGCTTAGACCCGTCAGCCCAAACATCCCAGAGGCCAAGATTCCGGTCACAGCAAGACCGATGGTGAGAGCTGCCGGGACAATCACCGGACTGAAGAGGAGGAAGAGCGGGATTGAGAGCATCAAACCTATCACCGAGCCAGCTAGAGTGAGTCCAGCTAGGGCTAGTAGTGAGCCACCGATGGGAACTCCTGCTATAAGTGCCACGATCTGCATGTATCAATTATTATCTTTAGTTACTTTAAATTTTGTTATGAGTAATGTCAAAATTGTTAAATCCAAGGATGACCATCTGGATATGATCCTATATACATGCTTGCATATAACCATCTATATGCATGCATAACCACCTTTTGTATATTTTTGCATATATTGATTTCAATAGTTCGGAGCGCTTATGATTTTCAACACATATTAGTGGATAATTTAGTTCTTTTTTAAAAAAAATTCAGAAACTTCTTTAAATAGTTCTTGGTAAGAAACAAAAAAATATGTAATAAAAGAGAAGAAACAAAAAAGATACTTGGTTAGTGGAGGGGCCCCGACTCTTGTAATCAGAACCAGCACCATAACCATAACCATAGCCATAACCAACATCATCTTCATAGCTCGGCTGTAGAGGGCTACGTTTGTCAGTTCGGTCGACATGCACACGCCTGTCCACGTTCGCCATATCGACTGATATAATGATTTAAACTAAAAGAGCCAAGTCTAAGAGAACACAAAATGGGATATAAAGAGATAGAACATATACGTATATATAAATGGGATTGAAATATTTTTTTTCTTTGTATAAGGGAATTTGGAGTGAAGAAAAGAGGACACGTAAGGATGTGTTGAAGGAAGAGGTGTGGCTTTGCATGATTTCCAAGTTTCATTCTTTACCTGATCATCTTTTCCTCCTTCTCCTCCCACCGTATTCAAATAAAAACAAACATTTATTCGGTTTAATTACCATTGCTCTCCTTTCGATGCATCCATATTTCACTTGTGCGTTGTGAAGTTGTGTAACAAAGACATCTTTCCTATTAAATATTTTGCTGTTAAGTTATTTTCAATTTTGTGAAGAAGCAAAAGTTCTTCCAATATCGATCATTCGATCCAGTTAATTCGACCCGCTAAGAGAATATTTTAATTTTATCGAACCTAAGTTTAGGAACATAAATATTAAATGATAGCCAAAGGTTGCTGGTAATCAGTAACACTGTTTGTTTGTTAGCTACACATTAAGTGACTAGCTAGAAAGCTTTGGGTGAATTATAATGAGAAGAAAAACATTTTACATTTCACATTGTTTCTCTCTTTTCTAGGTGTGGATCTTGATATACATTCTCTTTGTTCATCAAAAAAAGAAGTTGCCCTTGTGACTTTAAATTATAGTTGCAATATTAATTTATGTCCACTCTTTTAATGGCTTTTTACATGTTTATGTACCATTTATTTATCTATCTAAAATTGAAATTTGGTGGTATGTACAAGATGTGCCACTAAATTAATCAATGTAAATCGGAATAAGCTCTCGTTTAACAATAACTGTAAATGAAATCCAGACTAAATCCATAAACGTCTAAAAAATTGGATATTTAAGACGTATACGCTGATTAACGGCTTTGAGTGAAATTTCATTTTTAAGCTACTTAATAGACCATTTTCTTCTCAAAAAGAAAATAACCAACACGGAGAAAACTAATACGAAAAAAGAAAAGGTAAAAAGAGTTAGAAATTATATCAAATTATATACATATATTGTCTATATTGGTATAACAATTGATTGATCGCTTTTATAACACGAGCACATTGTGGTGGCCCAGTGGCTTTAGTTAGTAGAATCCTTTTGTCTTACAGAGGTCTAATCAAGAAGAAGAAAAAGATATAATCGAATCAAGCAATTTCAACAGTAAAAACGACGCCGTCCGTGGAACAAGGCTTTTTCATTCGGTTCTGTTATTGGACATTTCTAAGCTATTGGGCGGTTCAGTGGTGGTCCACTGCTACTTGATAATGAGATGACAAACTTCTCTCTCACTTTCTCTTGGTCCACAAATTGGGCCCATCTATGGCCCATTTACGTTTTCTTTTGGTGTGCTCTTCGCCTTTTCAGCGATGAGATTGATTTCAAACTTGGATTTAACCTGTTTAAAGTTAGGTCTATGGCTAAAATCGCAAGTACTAAAACAGTAGGTTTTCTTTGGATGGGGACATTAGTACAATAGTTTCGCTGGAGTTTTATATGGTCACTAAGTCCATTTTTTTGCATATAGAAAAGTTTAATTGCGAGAAAAAAGGTTTTAACCCGTGACAAAATATAAATATCGACTAGTTTTTTTTTTTTTGGTTTTCTTTCAAATTTCATAAGATGTGGAAATTTCATTGAAAAATTGTTATCATTTTGTAATGATCTCAATAAAGAAAAGGGATGGGAGAACTGAAGGAGAATGAAGGAGACGGAGGGAATAATTGAGGAAAAGTCTAAAGATGTGTACAATATGAGATGATCTATCACATGGCAAAACAATCATATTTCTGCAATAGACTGTGATAGTGTAGTAAATAAAATGTTACAATTAAAAAAAGACGAAGACTAAAATGAAATGATAGCAGAATTTGTACCTTTAGTTACTGTTTCTGAAACTGACTCATGTCTGAACACAATCTTGAATCCCCGTGTCTTGAAGTCGACACGCATGGATCAGAAAATATACGTATGTTTTCTTTTTTGTCAGCAAATATACGTATATATGTAGCTTATGTACATCTAATATATATCTATCTGTACACAATACATTCATAACTCATAGACACACTTTTTCATAGTGTATATTCTTTATATATATATAGATATATATATAAACATGTGAATAGTCAATGCTTAAAAAAAAAACATGTGAATCTATACACAACCGACGAGATCCATGTTAAATAGCTCAACTGATTCCTTCTAAAGTTGTTGTGATATGTTCCAAGCACAAATGATCTAAAGAGTATTGAAGCACAAATAAACATGACACGTCTCACTGGCTTCGCTTTACGCAATTGAAAAGGTTGAACTGTTAATGTAAACCTATCGATAAAACTCTAAAAGAAAAAGAAAAAAAAAAACTAAAGAGGTAATAAAGACAGTTTATTGCCTTCGATATTTTAAAAAAATGTAATTCTAGTTTAGTTTTTACGTTTCATAGAAAATATTAATTAAAAATGAAACTAATTTTAGCAAAAAAAAAAATAATGAAACCGGATCATTAAATAATTTTTTTCTTCATCATGTGGAATCTCGATGGATACTTAATGGGTCTGTAATAAACATTTTCACCGGATATTCAAAACTATATACTTAGATTACATATATATATATATTTCTCAGTTTTTTTTAATGATACCAATCTTAATTAATGATCTAAAAAGGTGAATTTGGAGTTGGTTTTGGGTGAGTTGATTTGTATGTGAATATGTTTTGGTTGTTAGGTCGTCGCCAAATGACATGAAATAAAAATGGACCGGCTTTAAAAAGAGATTCCCTACGAAGACGTGTGCCTAAATAAAGGTACTAAAACTTGATGTTTTCAATTTTCAGCAATTGATTATTTATTCAAACTTTTTCTTAAGTCGACAAAATATATAAAATCACTCGATCAACTTAGAATATTAGCGAAATGATGTTACTGACCAGTGACTAGTGTGTGATATCAAACGACCAATTATCAGACTACTTTCCTATGAGTCTATCTAAAACTGTCGACATGCAATTTTCTATGCTTTTAATACCATTATTTAATATTGGTGTTGCTTCAATTTAGTATCACAATTGAACGAAACTTTAAAATGCTAAAAAAGGTTGGTCATGAATCGATGAAATATGTGTCTAAAGGGGACTGTCCGAATCAGTACACATCCCTTTTTTCTATCCTGCTAATAATGAGATGATTTTGGTTGAAATACTTTTGGTCGAAGTTAGCTTAGCACATTTTTAGCAACTATTTTGAGGTTAAACTATAAAAATCATAGTTTTTTATGATTTATTTTATGCTTACTAGTTAAATCAAACTAATTTATCTCAAAATTCGCAGCGGCTATCCGAACGTGTCCCACCAAATTCATGATCATTTGTTGGACAAAGTTTTAGTTATTTTATTTTGTCACTTGATAAGCACCAAATACAAATACAAACACATCTCACTTGTTCATTGCTTATTCAACATATTCAAAAATGTTCTCTGATTTCCCATGAAAATTACAAGTTAAATTACACAAACCGCATAAGTATATACATACAAATAAACATACACATACATATATACATAATACATACATGTCATTAAGGCATATCCTTATATTGACATATACACATGATAATATCTTCATCACTTCCATCACATCAACCATCCTCTCTCTCTCTCTCTTTTTATACTTCTCCGCCGCTAATTCTCTCAAAGAGTGAGTGATGATGACTAATAAACTCCCGTTGACCAGTCAACTCCTCCGCCCACCATAAGCCGACGTCGTTTCATTACCAAGACAACTAGCGTATCTCATGAGATCAGCATTTGTCTCCTCTAGTTCCCTTTGCAGCCTCAAGACCTGTCTTTGGAGCACCGAGATGGCCCCAACGCAGCCATACACCGGATCTTTTAGCCGTGCCTCCGCCTCGTAAGCCAGCGAGTTCACAGCATCTTCCCGTTGATGCGGAGCCACCTCGTGGAGGATCTTGCTCACGTTGCTTGCCCCGAATATCCGGTGCACGTTAGCGAACTTTGTAGGTTCTTCTGGCGGAAAGTATGGTGCGAATACGCACTCCGACGTGCATTTCCGCCGGAGGAATTTGCATGCCGCGCACGGTGAGTTTGTGTAGTTCGAATACGACGACGACATCTTTTCTTATATATACCCCCTGATTATTCAGTTGTGGAAATGGAAAAAAACAAAACATGTAGTCACATACAGTAAATATTTTATTAGGATCGTTCTTGGAATTACAAGATTGATTGATATGAATCTTGATCCACATCGATATTGTGAAATTCTAAAATCTCCCCCGTGTATACATCAATTTTGTTTTACACAGTATATATGTCTATGTATATGTTTCTACGTACACATTATAAAAGTTATGCGTTTTCGAAATTTTTTTTTCCATTTTGTGTTGGTAACTAGCAGTAATTGTCTCATCGATCATCAATATAAATGGTAACAAGACATATGATGTTCTTAGCTCTTATATCTTCAAAATTCATTTATATAGTAAGAACGGTAACTGGAGATAATATAGAGTTTCCAATATGATTGGTTACACGACGTATGCTTACAAAAATCTGGTTACAAGACGTATGATGTTCTTAGTCTTATAATCCCTAATAAAATTCATTATTCTTCGTGTTCTTACTGCGTTAAAAAGCTGTTACCATTTGAATCCTAACTTCAACTATTATATCTCACACAAATATATACATATATACTAGACATTCCTTTATAAACTATTAGTTTTAGATTGAAAACCTTTAGTCAAAAAAAAAAAAAACACAATTAGTTTTACAAATTTCAAAGATCTTGGGAAATCAAAACCTATGTAATAAACAAAACATTCTACATATATATGCACAAAATGCTAAAGCTAAGTGTCTTGGTGAACCTAACACATAATACGATTGAGAAAAGTTATATAACTAGTTGTGTAGCTACATTACATATAAACAAATAAAGGTCCATTTATCCCACAAGAAATATGAACAAAATGGGTGTCGCTAGATAAATTCGAATTTACGGTAACCCACACTATTTTACGTTCTAGCGTATTGGTTGGTTAAATATGACGGTATCATATACTTTTCAATATAAGAAATCGAAGATCTAATTAATCATCATTAAGAATTTCTAAGAAGATAGTAGATGTATATTTCCGTATTATACACTAGACCTAGATTTGTTTTTAACATGAATTTCTTATAATAAAAAATTGTGCCACCAAGTTATTTTGGTAAAAACCAATGCAAATTTGAAATTTGTTTCTTTGAAATTGTTGACTACTGATTTTCTTTTAATTCGAACATATTTTAGCACTCTTGACCTTACATTTTTGTTCTTGGCGTTTAGTTTAGCAGCTTTTCCTGATTTTCTCCTCACAACACTCTGTGTCTCTCTGACTCTGAGTTCACATCTATACAACATATCTTGGTTTAATTTCTTGAATCTATAACCTAAAATATAGGTGTTCTATATACTATAGGGGTTTGTGTTTCAGTATGGTATCTTCAATATATATAAGAGGCATGAAATCAAGATTACTCCTTCAGTTGTAATTTTTTGTAAGAAAAAGTCGTCCAATTATAACTTGGAATTTCAAGATCAGTGATCAAATCTTCATGATCTAAACTCTCTAATATTATATAACAAATCAACATAAAGGTACGTAGAATCTATATAATATAAGTGTGTGTGTGTGTATGAGTGAATTGGCTGAGTAGAATGAAACACTTTTAGTCTTACCTTTTTAATAGAGCAACAAGAGAAAGTGCCCCTTGATATGTACTCAAAATGGTTTGATCTTCTATGTTTCTCTCTTTCGTGTACTATATAAGAAGGGGCGATGAAAAATCGTCAAGAAGGTTTTCAATTATTGGGTTTCTTTTTGTTGTTCTTAGAGAGGAAACCCTAGTTGGAGACGAAAAGGAGTCTCTAAGGGGAAAGTTAGAGAGAGAAAGAGGAGACAAGGATTAGCGAAAGAGAGAGAGAGAGGGCAAAAGGCATTTTTGGTGGAATGAGAAGAGAAAGAAGATGAATATAATGAGACTGCAAAGAGACAAATTGCCCTCTATTAATTGAGGGCCTAAAATAGTGAACTAAAGAGGAATAACTCTGACCATGGAAATTGTAAATTTTACTCCATTAAATTGTTTTCAGTAATTACTAACATTTTTATAACAATTTCGTAATCAATGAACTTTGAAGAAATTTCTTCTTTTGTGATGTGACTAATTTATAAGATTTTTTTTTTTAAAGAGTGATATGTAGTAATTTATATTAGTAAACCCACATATCAAATTTCATAATAAGTGTACATTCGTCAAGGTGTGTCGGAATCGAAATTGGAATAGCCCTCGGACCGTTTTAGATTTTCTAATTCCAATACCTACTTTTGAATACTTGACAAATACCCATATTAGTAAAGGCTGTAAAGCTAATATATCTTCTTTTTTTTTGCTCAACTTCTCATTCATTAATCCACAAATGTTTTTACAAAGCATTCTTATCAACCTCAATTAAGAGACTTATCCAACCAGGCATAATAGAATACAACTTAGAGACATTAACAACAAATGTGTAAATCTCCTGAGCTATTCTATGAGCCACACTATTATCTTTTCTTTTCTTGGGAAGAAAGCAAGCTGGTGATCTTCAAATATTGATAGCAGACCTTTTATATCCTGCTGAAACATACTTAAACAAGGTCATACCTGCTCAATAGCATAGAAAATATTTTTAAAGTCAGTTTCAAAAATAACTCTGGAGTAATTCAGATTTGTGACTATAATTATCGCCCATCTAAGTGCCTCAATCTCAGTTTCAAGAGCCGAACCCAGCTGGTGTAATTAGCTAATATATCTAACAAATGAGAAAACATAACTTTTGAAGGTTTTCGTAATATGATGCCTTCTTTCAAAATATCGGGAACCAAAACTTGAATAGCTCTTCGACCAATGTAGATTCTTCAACTTCACTTCCGAGGCTTAATCGCCTACAATTGTTTTATTTACCTCCGACGTTTTTGCAAGGTCTGCTACCGTAAAAAAAATGTGAAGTCTTGGTCCACTTCTTTTTTCTTATTAATATATTGTTTTTATTTGATATTCAGAAGATTTTGGAATACAAAGTTACAAAGAAAACATAACTGTTGAGGATCTGAGCAAATCCGACATGTGTACTGTCATTTTGCTTGATTGAATATAACTGTTAACATATAACCCCTCCTGATTTTAATGTTCACCTTTCGGGAAAATAATTACTAACTTTTAAAAAAAAAATGTTTGTTATGTTCATTCAAAATCCCACCCTGATGTTTGAGAGCCACATGCTTAAATACAAACAATTAATTTATTTGGCAAAAAAAAGAATTAACAAAACATGGTTTCTGATAATGGAGTAGCTTTTTCTTTACCTTGCAGAATTTCTTTAAACATAATCAGAATATTTCAGAAAAAGAATTAACAAAACAATTATCACTCTAAATTAATTTTGAAATCAGTATTTTCGCATATGTTACATAAACACCATTGAATTTACTTGTTTGTATTTTAAGGTTTGAATAAGTGATGTATACGGTATAACAATGCGTTATTGTTTCCATAAACATAAATAGATATACAAATCTATAAGTGCAATATTTGGTAGCATGTGCGTAGATTACACCAATGATTAGATGAGATAATCAATCATTGGCAACCATTACTTTACGTTTTTTTTCTCTATATAACAATACTTTACGTATTTAGTTTCCTGATTCGATTTCAGTGTATACAATGTACATGTATGCATATGTATATCAAAGTGTATACGCATGCTGACAAAATCCCTATACATATAACTTGGGCCTGGCGATGGTTGATAAAAATATATTAACCTCTTACAAATATGGCTAATGTGGGTCGCTAAAAAAAGCTAATGTGACGATAGAAAACAAATAAAAGAAGCCAAGTGTGTGCGCTAAATTATACATCCGTATAAAAAAAGGAATTAATATGTATGCATGCACCTAGAAGGAATTCAGGAATCAATGTGTACCGAAATTTCTTGCTCGATTCCGACCCTATCTTTTCCTTTTTTCCTTTGAGCATGAAAAGAATTTTGGTGCGTAATCTAGTAAATAATATATACAAGAAAATTTATTAAATGGTGAAAATGTTAGTATATCATCTTAGAATAATGAAATTTAAATTTGATATATAGTAATAACTTGAATTTCTGGAAATGAAAATTCCCATTATAAGTTTTAAAAGTAAATTTAACAGTAGCTTAACTTCTAGAACCAGTTTTCATATATAGTTTTTTACCAATAGTTTTCATATATAGTTGTTATAGCAAAATTAAAGATAAAGAAATTATTTTAGTTAACAGGTATATAAATATGTGATATAAGTGGGACTACTTTTGAGATTAATGTATACCTAGCTCGATTGCCAATTTGTGTGAAACCATAAACAAAAAGTACTTATGATTTAGTAATCAAATATAGGTTCGGACTTTGTGGATTGGTTGTTGAAGAAATGTGTTATACGGAAAAATGTCGACGGAATTATTGCAAGCCAAGTGTTAGTATGGCCACAACAATCATTAGATATGCACAATTATGTGATCAAATGTTATTTATTTGATGCACTTCTTTTCTCATTACATTATAATATATACATCAAGCCCAATTAGTGGTGTCCAATCTTATTTACAATTCAATAATTTCCATTCGTCTTTTTTTCGTTATTTAAAAAATATAGAGAAGAATCTAAGCTTAACAGATAACTAAACTCATAACTTTGTATTGTCTTTTGCTTACAACGACAGCTTTTAATAGGCAAACTTCATACCTCATACCATTAAAATGCGAACAAGTATTCATTGAGTCATCATTAGAAAGAGATTAAAGAGTGTCAAATCGGTGGCCTAGAACAAATTTTGATTTGCTTGTTTTCCGCGTCGAATCGCCATAATGGATTTTTTTAGCGTGCATGAATCATGCCGCATGGTGTAACATATTCTTTTGCATTGGGCCTGATCCAGTGAACTTACACTGTTTTGCCTCGATCCATTGATCTACAAGCAGAATATATAATACGGCTAAACAAAGTCAACTTTGATGCTGATAACCATTAAGAAATGTTAAAGCATTTGTCTGAATTAATCGCTTCTGTTTTACTTTAAGCAGAAATTGTCAGATATATGACCTGGTATCTAATAAATCTTACAAAGTTTCTGTACAGTAATCTTTGGAAAAAGAGATTAGGGTTTAGGGAGTGACAAGAAAATAGTCTCTGATGGTTCTTCGTTTGACAGAGGAAGGAGGGTTTAGGACAGATGATGGGCTGTTGACCGCGGTTTCTGGTGTTCTCTCGCACGTTTTCTCTTCTTCTGATGATGATAATGACAATGATGATGTCTTCTTATTCTGAGTCTCCGGAGTTCTGATGATAGGCGTTGGTTGATTAGTAGTATAATCATCATCTGGATCTGATGAATGTTTTTGGGGACTCTCAGGTTCTTTGTTCATCTCAAGTCTTTCTTTGGCTTCAGTATTTGACAGTGCAGATACTCTGCGTTTAACTCTTGACGCAGACGCTGATGCGTTTGAGGTTTTGCAGCGGTTGTTCTCTATGTTCCACAATCGTACCTAATTATGAACAGACAAGAAGTCAGCAAAGGGCTAGAAAACACATAACCTTTTGGTTTATCACCACCATATGAAATGTTTTGCTTACCGTGAAATCATCTGACGCTGTTGCTACCTTACCAATCTCTGATGGAGACCTACACATCAGATTGAGTTATTAATATTATCATCGAATCTACTCATCAGGAAAGTTGGATTCAATGAGAAATAGGAAATAGAAGTTACCAATCTACTGCAGTAACTTCGTAGTCATGGCCTTTTAAGATTGTGGGATCTACTTGAGGCTTGTTAACCTAAAATTGCAGTGGTTCTTTAAGCATAGATACGTATTGAACCATTGATTTATTGGAGAATGTCAAACTAAGTGACAGAGTTTAAACCTGCCAAATGTAAGCGTTACCATCGCTTGAACCGCTCAAAATGTGTTCTGCATCAGGACTGATCATTGTCTGCAGCACAAGATGTTAATGGTGAGTGGACAGGCGAAATCTTTAATTAAAGCAAATCAGTTGTGTGATTGATGTGAACAAGGCATTTACCCTTACGAAAAAAGAATCTATTCGGCAACCAGAGAAAGATTGTAAAGGTCCTTTGTCAAGCTGCAACATGTTGTATAAATAGATTCTGCAACAGGTTGTTGAAACGAATTACATATTTTGTTAGAGCTGGACTCTCTGATAGTGCAGGCTCATCACAAAGAATAGTTAATGAGTGTGAATCTTGAAATTCTAACCTATTGTCTTTGCACGATGCTGTGAGAAAGGTTCCACTTGAGTCCTGGGACAAGCAAACTATGCCATGTGATCTCTTTTCCTGAAACCACAAATAAAAAAAGCCGGATACAGATTAATCTAGTTTCCATTTGCATCGTTCAGAGACTAATTCACTTAGAAGAAACATGTGATGTCATCTGAGTCTAGGAGCAGCTTAGCTTACCTTAGTGTTTGTTGGGTCTAACTGTGGAGATGCTTGAGCAAAAGGAACTTTAAGCTTCCTTGTGTCCCAAAATTTCAAGGCACTGATAGAAACGAGAAAAACAAAGAGAGCAAAGGATGTAAACAACATTGCTATATGATCAAAGGAGAAGGATTTTCTTCACATAAACCCACTAAAGGTTTTGCATGTACCTATCTGGTGCTCCAGCAGTGGCAATTGTGATCTCGTCCTTGAGATAAAGCACAGAGGTAATGCTTGATACAGCAGCCTGAAAACATGAAGCCATAAGCAGAGATGATAGGATAAATAGCTTAGAATGGAATAGTCAAGCGAATGAGCAGGAGTAAAACCTTGCGACGTTTGATTCGTTTTGAAAGAGGAGATAGATGAGCTCCTTTAACCATGCCAGTAGAGCTGTGTGAAGGCCAGAACAACTATCAAGATGGTTTCAAGGAAAAAAACGAAAATGATTTGCACAATTAACGTTTACAGAGAAGGACTTACTTGATGCAAAACTCGTCTTTGTAAGAGCTACTTTTACATCTTAAATCCCATAGCGCAAAACATCCATCTCTTGAACCAGAGACGAGAAGATCTGCAAACAGCAAGAGTTAGAGCTACAAAGATGGAAAATATCAATTAGTAAACTAGGAAGAGAAATTAGCAAGAACTAACCAGAATTGGTTGGATGTGAACACAATGATTTCACAGTTCCTGTGTGTCCTATAAGGACTCCAGTACACTTAGTCTCCTCAACATCCCATACTTTGATCTGTATCCACGTTAATAGGAAAGAAGAGTTTATGAATGTTGGAGACATAAACACAAACTCATAAATTAAAATGTTTGGGTCACTACTTACAGTTTGATCACCAGAAGCAGTCAGAAGACAACTATCTCCCTGCAATAAATTTGTGAGCCTATCTTAATTCCAGGGAAGATTCATGAATTAAACGTATATATAGTTCAATAATAAACAAATGGCGCACCTTGATCCAAGAAATGTCAAAGACCGCATTATAATGAGCAACCCAGTCACGGAATCTGGCATTCTCTACACATAATTCCATTTGAAACAAACACAAATCAGCAATCGCAATTTAGCCAAGAAAAACTTGGGTTATCAACGGGAATGAGAGGCGATACCTGTATTCTCTTGGTGAGATGCAGAAGAGGCAAACTTCTTCTTACTCGAATTAAAGAGACTCACATGGCCATCTTCATCTGACACGGCGAATATTTGAGAATTTCTACTACTCTGTACGTTTGGCATAATCGGTAATTATAATCACACAAAAAAACATAATTCGTGTATAGTTATCTGAAATTCGACTAAAATGCACAACAAAATTCAGAAGATATCATCGAGCGTTGAGATTGGTTCTAGAATTGGAGCTACATTAAGAATCAACAGAACGAGAGGGGAAATATTCGGTAGATCGACTATATACCTTACAAAACGAAACGGCCAACGGCGGAGTCCGAATCCCGTCGTGTTCCACAGCCACGCCGGCTATTTCTCTGCAAATCAGCTCGGAATCTGCGAAGAACGGTCGCTTCCTTCCTGAGACCAAAAAAAGAAAAAGTTTAATCAGAACAAAATCAGGAGAAGCTGAAACTCGTCAACGATAGAGCTACAAGATCGAATAACGCAACGCATTTGAATGTATGGATATACCTCGAAATCCGTTGAGCTCTCTTAGACCAATGTCGACGAAAACGGATCTTGATCTGGAGTTTTCCATCGGAGATTCTCTGCAGTCGAAGGAGAGAGACAAGAGAGGAGCGGCGGAGAAATGTGTTAAAGAAGATTTTGCCGGGGAGGAAATGAAAAAGATGGGAAACCGGCGGGATAATCTTTATTTCATCGGGTTTTTTAGGCGGTGTGATCTCTCTTTCACGCGGGAAAACTAATTTTTCCCCAAAAAATCAAAAAATGTTCTTCGTTGACCTCTTAGAGCATCTCATATTATGTTTGGGGATATTAACAATTTTTTATTAATATTTTTAAGTTTGATGAACAGTAATAAACAGTAAGGAAATAATATAAAATAATAAACAATAATTAAAAAATTAACACGCGGCCAATACAATACAGACATGTTACCCATAAACCCCTTCTCTCGATATGTTAACTAAACGACCGTATGTTAAGTTTTGGAGCTATTTTAATATTTTTTAAAGCTTGATCCATATGTAACTGTGCCAACAACCTCCTATAATCCCTCAATGGAGGTGCTCTTATGTTGAGAATATAGAAAGTCCGTAAATTTTATATTTTAAGCCCATTGGTTTTGGGATAAGTCTCTGATATGTTGGCCCATTTGGCTCGGAAATCAGGGCCTAAAATAAATGACGTCATTAGAAAAGTAAAATTTAGCACTGTCAAAAACAAAATTAAAGTGTGTGTATTCATTCAATCAAAACATTTTAAATGATTTCAACAAATAAATAATTGTTATTTTATAATTTGGTTAGTTATGCCACCTCAGTTTTTAGAAGAATTTTTTTAATAATTTTGTATGTAAAAATCACATAATATGCTCTATGAAGAGAAAAATACATACTATAAAAAATAGAGACTACAATTTCGAGACTTATAAGATTGAATATTTATCAAAACTCATATCAATAAAAAATGAGATCTCTTTTTATTTATATATCACCAAAACACGATTTTATTTCATTGCTTATAGAAGTTGATGTGTTATTTTTTTTTGGTGAATATAAGTTGATGCATTATGTTCACAGAGCTTATACAGGTTCACAGTAACTTGCTTATAACTATTGTGAATAAAATAAGGAATTGGGAAGAAAATGGCGGGAAAAAGAGCCGTTAGATCTAATATCCTAAAAATCATGGCGCCAAAACTTAAAAAGATAATGATAGTATACAGAAACTACCCGTAATTTTCCCGGGCTAAAACACATTATTAATTTCCAAATTTACCCTTTACTCTGGTTCACCTAATCTTCCTCTGAAAGCTTCGGTCTCTTTTAATTCCTGAGGAAGCAAGCAGCAAACTTGTCTTTAAAAGCAAGAATCTTTCTCACACTTTCGACTTATTCCTTCTTAGTCTTCGTGTTCTGCTTCTTCCACTTGAAAAAAAGATCTTTTTTACTGGGTTAATTTCAAAACATTATACGAGTCTCTGTCCTTCGTATTCTCCGCAATCTCTAATTAATCGGAATTAGGATAAGAAAGATGGGATTTTTGAAGAAATCTCGAGTCGGTAGAGGATTAGACACCAATGGGAAAAATTGGGCCTTCGCTGAAATATCTATTCGAGCTTCACTGAAGCCTGTGAAGACGAAACTCAAAAAGCCGGAGAGAGAAACAGAAGCTGAAGAAGAACACTACAATGGCAGCGAAGGATACTGCACCACGCCAACGGCGAAAGAAACAAATTCCTCGGAGATATTGAAATGTCCGCCGGCGCCAAGGAAACGCCGACCGGCGTTGAAGTGTCGGGGCAATTTCGTTGTAGAGTATTTTGTGCCTCCTTCAGATTTAGAGACGGTGTTTATACGACGCCCGTTAGTGTAAAACAAGATGTTCTCAAGTATATTGAAAGAGTTGCAAGTTGTCTTTTTTTTAGATTCTCAATTAATAATCATAGATTCATAAATCATATTACTACACAAGAAAAGAAGCTTCGACTATCATCTTAGAATTAATATGTTCTTTATAAAAAAAATACGATTTTTTAATATAATTTGCTCTTGAGAGAGGTTAGAGGATCTTCATCAAAGAACTCCTCTTTAGGGTTCATAACAATTTTATAATACTAAATTTTGGATTACTGAAAAGTTAAGAACATATCATGTTTTTATCTTCCAATAGTGAACCCCATCATAGAATTCTTAAAAAAAAAAAAAAAATTTGAAGCAATGACCCCATTATTTGCGACGATCTCCATTGTTTCTTTGGTCATATTCTTTTATGTCACAACCAAGTAAAAGAAGAGCCTGTAATATATAATATACAGCATTGGTGATAATACCTTGTCGTCACGAGCAATTTCAGCTCAGCAATCATATACGAAACAAAACAAAAATTTCAATCATGTTTTCACAATATCTCCAGAGAAGTTTTACTATCAAACAATCACACTGAATGGTAATAAACTGCATTAGAGTCATTACCGATATTAACATAGTTGTAACCGAGCTTAGAGAGGCCAGTGGTAACCAAAGCAGGAGCTGTTAAAAGCATCAGATTAAAAATAAGTTAAGAAGACAGAAGACAACAGAAGCGAGATTAATCAAGGATTGTAAATACAGATTCCCCTGCAAAAACAGATTTGAACAAGATCAAATCAAGCAAAGCGCAGATACAAGAAATGATAACCAGCAAAACATGACGACGGCGGCTTTTTAATGTCGGTTTTCTCGACATCGACGACGGCGCTTTCGACTGCGACTGTGGTGGTTTGGATTCGCGGCGATGTCTGCTCGATATCTACAGTGTGAAATCTCGACCAGCTTGCGTCGTCGTTTTTTCTGAGAACGCTTCTCAATCCAAACCCCAACGGAAATTTCCTGGCGAATTTGAATCCTTAGAACTTCGATTCCATGGATTCATCATCATAGTCTTCTCTCCACTAATTCTTCTCTTCAGCAATCGCATATACACAATTTCAATCCCAGACAAAAATCAAGAAAAATGGTCGACAAAAATCATCGGCCAAAAACAAAAAATGGTCCAGAAAAAAGATATGAGAGATGGTAAAACAAAAAAGTTATGCCCAATACCCAGGCTACACGTGGCGTATGAACCTGCCTCTTGCAGCCCTTAGTTAAGGATCGGTTCACAGATAATAAAGTTTTTTTCTTTTCTTTTTAATCTAAAACACCTATGATTTCGGGCCCAAAATTGCTAAGAAGTCTGATGAACATGCTCTTATGATTTTCAACAATTTGTTCGCTTTCATAATTTTAGGTTACGCACCAAATTTTATTGTTGTGGATAATGAAAAAGTGTGTTATGTGAGTGAATTTATTCACATAATTTTGTTTTACTTTTGTGTTATTTTCAATAAATTTACTTTTCTTTGACAAAAAAAAAAAGTTGAACTCGTGTAGCACAAGCCTAATAATAATAAAAAAGTAGTCTGTAGTCACAGTTTAATCGATTATATAGAATACAAAGGTCGCGTACTATTAAACAGATATTACATTTTCATTGAAACATAAAGGTAGAGAGGTGCACCATCTCATTGATCATAATTCATAACATACATAAAGGTAGCCAAGGGGGTCTTCGAAGACTCTGCTTATTGATCCATTTATTATGCTTCATACTACAGTATCATTAAATTAACGACAGACTGCACTTAGCTGAATCTCGCTTAGTTATTATGACGCTAAGCCCATCCTTCATCCAAAGAATGAGTCCAGGAAGTGGCTCAATCTTCTGCCCTTTGATGACTTGAATGTCATAGTTTTGTAATATCTCCACAACTACGATCTTCATAAGAATCGTAGCTAGTTGCTTACCAAGGCAGCTTCTGGGGCCGACATTAAACGGTAAGAACTTGAAGGAACTAAGGAAGGATCATGCCTTTAGCCTCTGTTGATATGTGAATATCGACAAGGGGCAAAACAGTATTTTAGATCGGTAAACTTGGTTTTATTAGATCGAATCGAAGGAATACAACTGAGTTCGGTTATTGAGTAAGGAATAACGAACTAAGACTTTATGAAACTAAGAATCTAAAGTGATGAGTTCTCAGTCTCTAAATCTTCTCTGGAATATCTTATGTTCTCTGGTGTCGATTCATCTTCCTTTATATATATCCTCTGGGTCGGTCATCAAGTGCATCTTCAGCGATATGGGACCGAGAGGACTTTCCTTTTCTCTCGGTCCTTTTCCTTTTCTCGTAGTAGTTTCCTTTTTCCATTAGGAAACTTTCCATTCTTGGCCGAACTCGGGGAACTTCTCGGTTCCTTCGAGAAGCTTCTCGCCGACCTCGGCTTAATGGACTGCGTTCGGCCCAAGACTTTACTCGGCCCAGTCTTCCCGGTACATTCCTTCGTGAACCGGGCTTACGTTATGCCGATCTTGGTTTGTACCGGAGAAAACCGGGGTGCGGTTTTCACCTCTTCCTCCATTACCATTCTTGGTAATCCATCTCTCTGGTTTGAATTCAGATCCATCTTCTCCCCATATTACTACTAAAAAGGAAAAAAATTAGTACTATATTTTAATACTCTCTCCGTTTCACAAAGAGTGTCGTTCTGACATTTTTCACACAAATTAAGAAATAAGATAAAAAAGTCTCTTATACTTTTATTAATCTGCAGAAAATGACTTTGGAATTATATTTATAACTAATTTTCTGAATTTATTTTGAGGTTAAATATGGTATTTTATGTCAAAATTTACATTGGAATTCTAAAACGACGTTCTTTTTGAGAAAAAAAATGTCAGAACGACACTCTTTAGGGAGTATAAATCTGCCAATAATACGACTATTAACTGTAAACTAACCAACAACATTATTGATACTCTCTTCTTTCTAATCAATTTAATTCTCACCCACTTTAATTTCCTAACAAAAGACTTAAAAAAAAATCCCATAAAAAAACATAAAAAATCGGCCATATAATAACCTCATTGTTAGCCAAAGACTCAGCAACACAACAAAGAACTGAGAGGATGGAGGAAGAACTCAAGAGCTTGATTATAGCATGGGTTTCACAAATCATGTCCATATCTTATTGTTACTATTTACCACCCAGAATCAAGCCTGGTCTTCCTCGATTCCTCTCTGTATTCCCCATCATTGCTCTGTTTCTTGTTCTTCCTCTGTTTTTCTCCTCGGTGCATTTATCTTTCATCACAGCGTTCTTCCTCACATGGCTCGCCAGTTTCAAACTCATCCTCTTCTCCTTCGATAAGGGTCCTCTAATCCCAATACCCTCAAACCTCTCGCGATTCCTCTGCTTCACTTGCTTCCCCATCAAAGCCCAGCAAAACCCTAAACCTCAGACTCATTTGCCCAAATGGGTTTTCGCCATTAAAGTTGCACTCTTTAGTGTAATATTACATTTGTATGGCTACAGACAAGACCTGCCTCCGCTTCTGCTATTGGCTCTTCAATTTCTGCAACTCTACCTCGAGCTTGAGATCATTTTTACGTTCGTCAAAGTTGTGGCTTCTATCTCTATTGGGTGCGACCTCGAGCCACAGTTTAATAAACCATACTTAGCCACATCACTACAAGACTTTTGGGGTCGTCGGTGGAATGTAATGGTTCCGGAGATTCTCCGGCAAGCCGTTTACAAACCAGTGCGGCAAGTTTCTGAACGCCGAATGAGCTCCGACTGGGCTCTGTTTTCGGGTATTTTGGTGGTATTCATCGTCTCTGGTTTGGTTCACGAACTGCTCTTCTTCTATTTAACTCGTGAGGTTCCCACGTGGGAAGTTACTCTGTTCTTCATGTTACACGGCGTTTGCATTGCGGTGGAATTGGCGGTGAAGAAGAAGACAACAGTGATGCAGCGGTGGCGGTTAAATCCGGTAGCATCGCGGTTACTCACGGTGGGGTTTGTGTTTGTGACTGGTTCTTGGTTGATTACACCTCAGCTTGCAAGGAGCGGCGTGATGGAGAAATACACCAACGAAGCTTTGTTTTTCGTTGATTTCGTTAAACACAAGTTATTTCTTTTGTTTGGATGTTTACGACAAGTGTTTGGAACAGGCGCATTTTAAGAGTGTTATGTTTTAGTTTCAAAAAGAGTTTAAATTTCGGTCCCAGTTGTTCAAGGTTCGCTTCTCAAGTGTTTGTCGATTTATTTTCAAAGTTATATGAAAATCATATAATAGAAAGCTTGATACTTTCTACTTTTGTAATTAAGATGATCGTAGGACCACGAGAGCCTTGGTTTAACGTTTTTATACATAATCGCTTCTCCAACATCGGTAAGAGCCTTAGCAAACTCATTCTCTGGCGTTTCAACGGAGAGAGTTTTGGGATCAGCCCCAATGATAAGAACCATTGTTGTATCGTAAGTTAACCTCCGGAACACATCTTGCAAGTTCACGATCAACCTTTCCTTTGCAAAGTTGTTGAAAATAGGTACAAGCCCGTTTCTGATCGTTTACTTCTCGTTGCATTTACTAGAAATCTTTGAAACCCCTGATGGTTGAGCCTGGCCTGAGCAGCGTTCCTCAGGTTCTTCCATAGCTCTGAGTCTGCGTTGAATCTCTCATATTTGAAAACATAAAAGGCCTCTTCATTTGGTGAAATTCGAGAAGTTTGAGCTCAATATATAGTGAATGTTAGATGGATAAACCGTGGCTAACATGTCTAAACCAGCAAACCAAAGGACCTTTGAATTGAAATGTTAAGTTGGATTTCTCAAGAAGCTCCTCAGTGAAGTCATAGATCCGGTGCAGCACTATGAGCAGACCCGGAAGCATTTAATAAGCCATTTTTGGTCCAACAGTTTATATATACAACGTCTATTACAATTCGTAAAGTCGGTTACACTTGTAACCGTAAACTAATGAGATTCTCAAACCAAGTAATCCCAAGTAACATAACCAGTTTGGTTTGAGCTTGAAATCCTGATTTTCATCACAAGTCATAATATGAATTTTGGTATGGATTTTATGTCAACCACTTCAGCCTTAACAGGGAAGGACATATATTTGGTGTTCCATGCTCTAACCTTCTATTTTGGTATCTTCTTACAAAAATCCAAAATTATGCTATTTTCTTGTTACTTTTACTCTGTTCAAGCATTGATCTAAATGATCCATATTTTAGTTTGGTTCCGGTTTTATAAATTTGGTTGATGTGTCCGCACATAGTTTGTATCATCTCTTTGCCTCGTATTACAGTTTTGTTACGATTTGATAGATTCGGCTGATATGTCCGCGCCAACTTTGTATATTGCCGTCTCGTCTTGGTTTGTCCACCATTACATCACCTAACTCTTAACATTATTTTCTTCAACCTTAATATTTTGAATTGAGGAAAAGAAAGAAAAAAAATGATTTAAAAAAAAATATTTTGAAGTGATCGGACTTCAACCAAACTTCCACAACAGTATGTATATTCATGTTTGATGTTGGAATGGACTCCATAGTGAAGTCTATTAAAGCAATTAGGGCCCATTTGTCACATCAAATTTTAATGGCAAAATTCTTAGAGCATCATTATCGGTAATACCCATATGGGTCTTTTAAAGCATTATTTAATATTATTTTGTGTTTAAAAACTTAAATAAGAAATCTAATGATTTTTGCTCTGTATTGGCAGAAACCCAAATGGATTCATTTTCTCCACGACATATTTTTCTCCACGACAGACTGAAAACTCAAACACTAAATCTCAGCCCATCTCCTTGAACTCTTAAAGATTATTCTTGTATACCAGAAATGCAGCAGATACATAGCAAAAGCAAAACCCTTCTCATAAACAAAGACGATTCATTTCTAAAATCTTCAAAGTAACACAAGAGATTGTAAAAACTGAGACTTTAGACATATTTGCTTCGTCTTCTACAATCTACAATCCAGAAACCTAGCCAGAAGGCACCAAGAACTCAACAACAATGGTGGAATCGAGACAATCACGAACCTTTTCTTTCTGCGAATTCACCAACTTCGTATGAGAATCCACAGATTCCAATTCAGCTAGATCCTTGAAAAACGCAATCAACGCAATCGAGAAACCTTTTGCTTGGGCCGGCGAGAAGTTTTCCCCAACAGTGATCTGACCAATCCCTGGAAATTTTTCGTCAAGCCCTTTGATCAAATCCAGAATCTCCGATTTCGCCTCGTCGGGGATACTCTCTTTCAGTTTAAGGAAAATGATTTTGACGACGGAGCCAGAAGGCGGAAGAAGTTTATTACCTATCACAACCATACTCTTTGATTACACGACCAGAGATGATACAGAGAAGAAGAGATTGATTCCGAAGAAAGCGAGAACAAGAAAATGAATTTGATCGTCGAAGCTTGAAAAAAATTTCTTCTCAATTTCTCAACCCAATCAAGTATTGACAAGTGACAAGAAGAAACGTTTCTTTAAGTTCTCAAATAAAAAACGTTTCTGAAGAAAATTTTTTCATTTGATTATATTTAATCATAAATATTCTTAAAAGACCGGGTTGGATACCGCAATAATGATGGCCTTATATTATCTCATAATTGATTATTCTTTTATTTTTCGTTTATATATTTTTGTTTTGGAATAAAAAGATGTGGTTTTGATTTGATTATAGGCCACGGTGGTTTAATAAAATTAGGGTACTCCCGTACTGCACTCTCCAAGAGTTTGCAAGCGCACTGTAATTTTTTAAATGCGCCGGAAGACGGCTGCTTGAGACAATGAGAGAAGCAGCGCAAGATAATATAATGCGCCGAGGGACGACAAGAGCCGTCGTCCACGTGCTGTTGCCGAGAGTTCACGTGCGTCCATGTGAGGCTTTGGGCTGCACCTCGGTCGCAATTTCCGCTTCCTTCATTATGTTAATCAATTTCTAAAGCCTCACTAATTTACTCATAGGTTTATAACTATTAAAAACTAAAAAAACGTCTTTTTTTGCGTCCTCAAAATAGATATATTTAGTTTATTAATACTTTGTCGATAATAGGTTAGATTTTTTTTTTTTGGAAGGTTAATCATAAGATTCATGATTCATCCACGAAAAAACACAAGTATTGGAATTTAGACAGTTAACATAATTCTAGAAACGAGGAAGAGTCTAATAATGCTATTATAAATTTATCATTAATGGTCGTTCAATGTACCAGCCATCTCCAATTCTTAGGAGGACGTCTCGTGATTTAAAATACTTTAATTAAATCTACCAACAAAATTGCATTGGTGCAATTAATATCTAGTGATTATGATTTCATCTCATTGCATAGATATTAACTGCAAATGGAGTTTTGAAATCAATCAATTTTGAATGTGGATAAGCCTTTGTCACATAGTATATGTTTCGTATTTTATACTGCAGTACAGAAATTATTTGTTTTCTTTTTTGTGTTTTTCTTTTCACGCACAAATTATTAGCTGAGTTTAGTGCGTAGGGCTATCCAACACGTATTGTTATTTGTTGTTCTTAATCTTAATCAATTATAAGCAAAAGTAGTAGCTGAAAAACCATAATCATATCCTAGAAGACGGTATTTTACTGTCCATATCGCGTTATCCCAATATAAAATGCCATTCTAAAACAACTAACTGAAAATGAATTAAGTTTCAACTCGGATGGTTCAACAGTTTCTAAAAAGTAAAATCAAGTAAATACATTTTTGAATATTTCACCGTTAATTTATATCATATACTCCCTCCGTTTTTTATTAGTTGTCGTTTTAGAAAATTTTGTTTGTTTTAAATTAGTTGTCGTTTTCAGTTTTCAATGCAACATTTATTAATTTTTTATTTTTTATAATTATTTTTATTATGCAATTTGTTTTATTATTGGTTGAATTATATTTAAATAGATAATTAATGATGTTTTTATATTGAAAAGCTAATACAATTAATATTTTTTGATCTGTGTTCATAACCTTAAAACGACAACTAAATAAATCCGGAGGGAGTAGTCATTATCGACAACAGATTTGAGCCAGAATATTGTCTCTTGGTTCTTCTAAAGTATTTATGGAGTTTCAATTTTCAAAACGTGAAATCGAGATCACATTCAGCCAATATTTGGATTATTTACTCTCTAACATAGAAAGTAGAAAGTAGAAACAGTAAGAGACATCAGTCGATTTATAAATACTGGCCTTTAGAGTCGTCGAATATGCCCAGAATTAATATGGCCCTACTATTTGTGACCCTGCTATTAAATACAGTACTAATATTCAAACTTTATAGCCTAGAACAAGAATTTTTATACATTACGGGTGTATAATATAATCTACTAAGTAGTGCTTACAAGCGGCTCCCTACTTAATTACAACAATTAGCCTTTTTTCATAAAAGAAAACAAATACAAAAAAAACAAAATATAAAGATTTTAAAAAGCAAGAAACAAGAAACATTGCTTTTGAGGGAACATCGCAAGATCGAGAGTGTAAAAAGTTGCTTAAAACTTTCCCATTAAACGACGAACAGATTTCGATTTTCTTATTAATTTCCTTTCTCTTCTTCATTCACCTGAAGAAAAAAACTTAAAAAAGACCGAGAGAAAGAACAAAAGCAGCAACATTTCTTTAATCGATTTAACCTCTTCGTCTTTCTCTCTCTCTCGGACATTGATCGGATCGGATCTACTATAACCCGTCAAAGAAAAAGAAAAGATTTCCGATCAACGTCAAAAAGCTGGGTTTTTCACTTCACTCTTCCTCTAGTGGGAGATAAGTTTCTTCAAACGAACGACTGATTTGCCTATGATCAGGTGTTAATCTCTTTCCTCCCCTTCTCTGTTTTTTGCAACTTTTCTGGGAATTTCCTTGTTTTTGTTTCGGAAAATTTCGCGGGAAAGACTCAAAAACCTTTTCTTTCTCATCTTTCTTCCTTCTCTCTGCATTTTCTCGGCGGTTACTTGAAATTCATCGTTGATTGAGTTTAAGCAACACCCTAATCATTGAGTATTTAGGTTGATTTAGACGAATCCTGTTATCGTTACCGTAATCTTTGCTGGGTTTCCTTTATCTGAATATAAAAATCGATTTTTTTTTCCTTTCACTTTTTCGCTTTCTTTCCTCGGTTTTGAAGTTTAAACATCGTATCGCCATTAACAGAGAGAGAGAAACTAAAAGCCACTTTGTTTGAAAAAACCCTTCTTTCAGGAATTGCGTCGAACACCTTCAATGGATTCCTCAATCGATAGCGTTGGTTCGTCGTCCAGAACAAGAAACACTCCAGCTAAATCCAAATGTTCCGTTGCATCGTTTTCGATCGATTCCAGAAACGGAGGAGGCACCAAGAAATCGGAACCGCCATTGAAGACGTCGTCAATACAAGAAACTTCCCCTGAAGTTTTAGAAAGTTATGAATCCTCTGTTTCAGCTGAACCTCAAACACCAATCTCGATTATACGGATGAAGAAACAATCGGAGCCGAGGTTTTACCCTAGCCCAACGAACACGTTCTACACAGCACCACTCTACACAGAAGCCAAACAAAGCTTCACGAACACAGAACTCAGCGAGTGCGCAAGCACAATCGGCGTAGGCGGAATCGATCTAGAGAAGATGGGTATATTGACATACAGAGGAAGCACGGGGAGTGATGTAAGCGACGAGAGCAGCTCGAGCGGTTTGAGCAACGCAGGTTACAAGCCGCACAGGGCTAATAACGACAAGCGTTGGGTCGCGATTCAGGAGGTTCGATCTCGGGTCGGGTCGTCTCTGGAGGCTAAAGATTTCAAGCTGATGAGACGGCTAGGAGGAGGTGACATCGGGACTGTTTACTTAGCGGAGCTTATCGGAACAGGAGCGAGTTTCGCCGTGAAAGTTATGGAGAAAGCAGCGATTGCAGCGAGGAAGAAGCTTGTTAGGGCTCAAACGGAGAGAGAGATACTCCAATCGCTAGACCATCCTTTCTTGCCTACACTCTACTCGCATTTCGAAACAGAGAATCATTCCTGTCTTGTTATGGAGTTTTGTCCCGGTGGTGATTTGCATTCTCTCCGGCAAAGACAGCCCGGAAAATACTTCCCTGAGCACGCTGCTAGGTAAAGAACTCAAAGAGATAACCGGTTTTGCGGTTTAATATTTCGTTATCGCTGAAAGTTGTGATTTTTATGTTTTCTTTGCAGATTTTACGTTGCTGAAGTTCTTCTAGCTATGGAGTATCTACACATGCTTGGGATCATATACAGAGACCTCAAGCCTGAGAATGTTTTAGTCCGTGAAGATGGACACATAATGCTATCAGATTTTGACCTTTCCCTGAGATGTGCGGTTTCTCCAACGCTAGTCCGATTCGCAGCAACCACGGCGCTCGAGTCCAAAAGCTCAAGCTACTGCATCCAGCCGGCTTGCGTAGACCAACCGAGCTGCGTTATTCAGCCAGATTGCATCCAGCCAGTGTGTTTCACTCCTCGGTTCATGTCTAGAAGCAAGAACAAGAAGAGACCGAACGACACGACACGCCAAGTCAGACCACTCCCGGAGCTGATCGCTGAGCCAACTGGCGCACGGTCCATGTCGTTTGTCGGGACACACGAGTACTTAGCGCCGGAGATAATCAAAGGAGAAGGGCATGGAAGCGCGGTTGATTGGTGGACTTTCGGGATTTTCCTTTACGAGCTTCTGTTTGGAAGAACTCCTTTCAAAGGAGATGTAAACAGAACGACGCTGTTCAATGTAGTTGGCCAGCCTTTGAGGTTTCCTGAGCACCCGAGTGTGAGCTTTGCGGCTAGAGACTTGATCAGAGGATTGCTGGTGAAAGAGCCTCAGCATCGGTTGGCTTATAGAAGAGGAGCCACTGAGATTAAGCAGCATCCGTTTTTCCAGAGCGTGAACTGGGCTTTGATCAGATGCACCAGCCCACCTCAGATTCCACAGCCGGTGAAAGTCATGGATCAAGCTAATAGTCTTCGTCATGGTCATAGTCAAGGAGGTGGTCATGGTGGTCATGATAAGCCGCCTACTGTGGATGTGAAGCCTTCTGGTAATTATTTGGAAATTGATTTCTTCTGATTTGTTCTCCATTTTTGGTTGCTACTTATTCGCTTGATCTCACAGCGTATTAGTCAATTGTATGATGTTTTTTTTTCTTTGGGGTTTGTCTAGATTCTGTGCTCTGATGTGTCTTACCAAATGATTTGACTGTCGTTGTTCTTCACATTATGGTGAGGTTGTACCTAGTCTTCCATTACATATATTCAAAAACAAGCTTCTTTTAAAGCAACTATGGAAATGTAAATTTAACCATCAATGGTCTTTGTTTTTCGTTCACAATAATAGATCAATGTTCCTCTTTTATTATAGATAGCTGAAAAGTGACGAATGGCCCCTATTTAGTATTTGTTCTGAAAGGAATCTTAAAACACACAGAAGGAAGATTTGTTAGCTAATGTCAATTTCTTTTAAAAAAACACATGTAATGGATTTTGAGAGTCGGACAATTATGCAGCTTTCAAAAATGTAATTAATACGTGTGGTTTTTCCTAAATAGTATAATTTGATCAAAACTTAAAATAATCAAAAGAATCCTGGTTTAACTAAAGTAACCGTCAGTCACCGATGCAGTTTGACGGACGAGTAAAATGGTATATGGTTAGCAAAGAAAATGACGAATCTCTCGGTGAGCTGGGGTTGGTAGGAGGCTTTAGATCACCAACCAGTCACTTTAATCCAGGCCCAATTTGCGTGGGTATGGGAGCGACGGTTGTTCAGTTCAGATGCACAAATTTTAGAGAAAATGTTATAAAGTAAACGAAACTTTCTTTTTTCGAAAATTAATGATAACGAAATTAACACCTTCATTTCGATCGCTTCGCTTGTTCAACTCTCTCTCTTCAATCTGCTTCTGCGAAACCCTAGAGTTTGTAGGGAAGAAGAATACGTGGTACTCTTCAATGGCGGAAGTAGAGAACAATGAAGCCGTGACGGTCTCGGAAGACGAGGTCTATGGGTTTAAACGGAAGGAGATGTACAGTGGTACCCTCGCTGGTTCCGTTGGTTCGTACGGTCGCCATGTTTTCCTTTGCTACCAGAGTCACGAGACCTGGATTCCTCGTGTCGAAGCTCAAGGTCTTCCGCAGCGTTTCGCTGAGTCGTTCAGGGATCGCAAAGCTGATTTCGCTGTTGAGGTATAACAAAATAACGTTTAGATTTGGCGCTCTGGTGTGAACAATCGTTTGTAGGTACTGAATGTTGAGCGTTCTTGTGTTGTAGACGAGGCTTACGGTGTGCGGTGGTGGAGATGATTTGGATGGAGATGTGCTGATTTTCCCGGATATGATCAGATACAAGTGAGTTTCGAGTTTCAGCTAGTTCTACGTTTTAGGGAAATATTTGGCTTGGACTTGCCTTCCTTGTTTCGAATTCGTGCTTGGTAGCTCGATTTCTAGGGACAGTTACAGCTGATTGATTTCGAAATTGTAGATACTCCGATTTTACGTTTTTCAGCTATAGAGATGATGGTGTTAAACTCGAGATTTGGATCTGAAAAGCCGGTTTCCGATTATTCTGTTGATATATGCTTATGTTACTCTGTTAATGGCCACTCGTTAGTCGTTCCAGGGCTGGTTGTTCTGAATTTTTGAGCCATTTTTGGAGATCTTATCCTTGTACACTTTCTCTTCTTGTTGCTATTACCATAGGGCGCTTAAGGACACAGATGTAGATGCTTTTGTGGAAGATGTGCTTGTGAAAGGAAAACCATGGACCTCTGGGATCCAGGAAGAGTTATCAGGTTCCTTTGTATTTGTGTGTGCTCATGGTAGCCGGGACAAGAGATGTGGTGTTTGTGGACCAGCTCTGATGGAGAAGTTCGAGGAGGAGATAAAGTCGCGTGGACTTTCAAATCAAATTTTCGTTAAGCCATGTTCTCATATTGGTGGCCACAAGTATGCTGGAAATCTGATTATCTTCAGCCCTGATTCAGCTGGAAATATTTCTGGCCACTGGTAAGAAAATGTCAAATCCAACTAGTATCATTCTCATTCAGAAAAGATATTGAACTGTAATATCTTATGCACCATCAAACGATCTTGCTATTTATGCAGGTATGGCTATGTGACTCCTGATGACGTGCCTGCGATGCTTGATCAGCATATTGCAAAAGGAGAAATCATACAAAACCTTTCCAGGTATGTTTTTTCCTGCTTCTTGTTTTCTAGCTTGTTGCAGATATGTCTCTGTTAAAACAGCTTTACATTTCTTCGTGTGTAGTAATACCAAACATCCATTGCTTGTAAACTTTGCACTAGATGTATACCCTCGTGTTGGAACCGAAACTGTTTTTTTAACATACAAAAACTTTTATTTGCTAATGAATTTTGCAAGTTCGTATTATTTTCTAATTAGCATTGTACTGCAAATGTAATTGCTAGAAATAACATAATTAAGTTTCTGTGTGGAGACAGCAAATGGTAAGATGTAATGTGTACTTTGGCTGAGGTTTTTGCTTGCTGAACTAGGAAACTCATAACACTTACTCACTCAGTTTACACATTGCCAAGGACCTTTCGAGTACGTTTTCAAATAGCGACATAGTTTACCCAGATAATTTCTGTTTCAGGGGGCCGATGAGACTAAGAACCGATGGTGAGGAAGCTAAGAAAGAGGAAGAGCATAAAATTCCAAACGGAAACAGCGTAGTGGAACGCGAACCTGAGGAGAAGAAGGGATTCACAGGAGGTTGCTGCCAAGGTGCAAACGGTGTTTCATGTTGCCAGGAGCAAACTCCAGAGCCAGTCAAGAAAGAAGGATCCGTGAAGCTAAACTGGTTCAGATCGATGATTGAGAAAGAAGAGCTTCTCTTGGGAGCTGCTGCGGTTGGGGCTGTCGCAACCATAGCCGTGGCTTATAGCATTTACAGGAGGTCAGGTTGAGAAATCGCCCCCCTCTTTATATCTCTCAAGAAGAATTTACACAAGAAAGTATAAAACTTTATTTTTGGTAGCTTATATTATAGCAGTAAAAGAAACGAAAAAATATGGAGGTAATGATATATTGGAACCACGCAACCATCATTTGGTATGCTGGGTAATATCGGTTTGGTAATGCAGGAATGTGATATATTCTCTGCCTTTGAATAAATATATAAAGCCTTTTCCTCGGAATTCAGTCTGTTGGTTATCTTCTATTGGATATTCTAGCTATACGTTAGACACTTAGACCTCGATATATAGTTTGATGATAAATTATATCAAAGCTAACAAGGCTTATACCGGCTTATGCAGTGAGAAAATCAAAAAGACAAAAATACGAAAAATGGGCTGCGAATATATTCTGATTTATGTGCCTACCTAACCAAACCTAACATTTTTACAAATATATATATATATATATATATATATATATATCTGAACTTTAAATCTATTAATTTTTGTCAGTGTGTCATCATCTTGATTCAAATCTGATAATGTATCTAAATACACATTATCAACCGAATTTTCAGCATTTCATGAACGACAAAAAAATGAAATGAAAATTGAAACTAATCAAACCAAGAAAAACTGAAAAGTACACAAGGACGGTCGTAAGTAAATGGGTCCCGCCTATCTCATTCTTTTCGTTTGTTACCTCACCGACGAGATTTTCTACTGACACTTTTCAGTTTTAGTTTTTTTTTTCAATGGTATTAGTCGAGGAACATTGAGTTTGTTGGATATCATTACCAAATTCCTTCAGTACATTATTATTTTTGATGAATACCCTCAATGCATAATACGAAGTTCGTTCAGTACATTTTTACAGTCACATATGTTCTGAATCAAATGTATTTCTTTTCGTATGTTTTGGTTAATATAAGTTTTATTTTTGCCGTACAGAAACTTAAAGAAGAAAAAAAAACCAAAAACTAAAAAAGAGTGAAAAGGACTCGTGGGTGTGCTTCCGCGTCTGTAAGTGTTGTCTTGGAGAGAGAGAGGCGGAGAGACTTCTTGTCACCTCACTGACGCCTACGCGGAAAAAGCAAACAACTTTCGATTTCTTTAATCCTTTTTTTGGTTCTGAATAGCCAAAAAACCCCTTAAAAAAAAGAAACTTTTAATTTCAACAAAATCTTTAACCAAACGAACAAGAATCATCAAATTTTGACCATTTCTCCATCCTTGGGTGTATTTTTCCTCCTTCAGTTCCAGTGTCAACTTCAGTTCCTCCATACTTCTTCTCCTCTCTCTTTCTCCTTTTCACATCTCTATCGCTCTCTCAAATTCCCACCTTTTCCTTGCTGCTTGTTTTTTGTTTATTTACTTTTATTACAGAGACCAAAACGATTAGTTTCTTTTATGTAGTTGACGAGTTTTGGAATTGATTGTCGTGTTCTTCTTCTGGGTTTCTTTATTCTGTGTCCTTTATTTATGGGATTCCTTGATTTTGCTTTATATTCTCCAAAAAGCATCGGATTGTATTGTTCCAATTCCAATTTCGAAATTCTACTCAACCCGTAATGATTAATCAATCAAAAGCCAAAAGGGCCCAGCTTTGATAAATCTCTTTGATTAGGGTTTCTTCTCAGCAACAATATATCTCGAAGTTTTGGTTTTTTTTTTTGGTCTTGTGTTGTTTTGTGGAAAATGGGATCCGCAAGTGGGTTTTACCCAAACGAAGAGTTCGAATTGGATCCTAAATGGCTCGTTGATCCTCGTCATCTCTATGTTGGTCCCAAGATCGGTGAAGGTGCTCATGCCAAAGTTTATGAGGGAAAGTAAGCTTTGACTTCAACAAATCTACTCAACTTTATGATCCGAAATGATAAAAGAAAGACAAAACTGTCTCTTTTAATCAACAATCATTGGTTAAAACAGAGGTTTTTCAGAACTTTGTTTCGGGTTTTAGAAGTCATGAACCTTTTAGGGAAGGAGATTTAGTCTCTGCATATCTGTTATTCAGTTTGGATGGTTAAGTTAAAGGATCAAATATATGTTTCTGCTTAATTTTCTCTGAATCAAACAGTTATTAGGCTTCTTGGTTTAATCTTTCTACTATATAAATGTTATGACTAGTGCTCCTTTGTGTTAATCATGGGTGGGTAGGTTCTCTGAAGATGCTTTCTTCCGAGTCAGTTTAAAAGATTGAGAAGTGTTTGGTTGATTGACAATGTCTTTTGTTTGCTTAGGTATAGAAACCAAACAGTGGCAATTAAGATTATAAAAAGAGGAGAATCACCCGAAGAGATTTCCAAAAGAGATAACCGGTTTGCAAGAGAGATCGCTATGTTGTCCAAAGTCCAGCACAAGAATTTGGTCAAGGTTTCGCCTTTTTCTTCTACTGCAACTCTCTGTTCATTTGGCTAACCGAGTATTTGGATGATAACAAAAAAAAAACCGTTTGAAAATCGATTTTATATATAGTTCATCGGAGCGTGCAAAGAACCCATGATGGTTATAGTTACAGAGCTTCTACTAGGCGGTACATTGCGTAAATATCTAGTGAGCTTGCGGCCAAAGCGTTTAGATATACGTTTGGCTGTAGCGTTTGCTCTTGACATTGCTCGCGCCATGGAATGTTTGCATTCCCACGGAATCATTCACCGCGATCTCAAACCAGGTAAATGGAGAAAATTAATCTAGGAAAATCAAACCGCAACTTCTGATCATATACAATGTGGAAAGCTTATAAATCTTATATGCGTTTGCAGAGAACTTGATCTTATCCGCAGATCATAAGACCGTAAAACTCGCTGATTTCGGTTTAGCTAGAGAAGAATCATTAACAGAAATGATGACCGCAGAGACTGGTACATACCGATGGATGGCCCCTGAGGTAACTATTTTAAAACTAAACCCGCAAAAGAAATAAAAAAAAAGTCCGGTTTTTTGCGTTTTGTCTTGATGAGAGATCTCGTTGAATGTATGTGAACAGCTTTACAGTACGGTAACGTTAAGGCATGGAGAGAAGAAACATTATAACCATAAAGTAGATGCTTACAGCTTCGCCATTGTCTTGTGGGAACTCATTCTCAACAAGTTACCCTTTGAAGGCATGTCGAATCTTCAAGCAGCTTATGCCGCTGCTTTCAAGGTAAATAGCTTAGCTTGAACGCTCTTGAATCTCTGCTACGGTTGGTGTCTCTGCATTTGATCTTTGCTTACTTGAGAGATCCTTGTAATCTTGTGGTACTTTGAATCCTTTCTTGGATAAGAATTTGATTCAAGAGCGACGATGAGTTCAAAGGCTCTGAAACTAACAAGCATTGTGACTAATATTTGTTTTTTCTTTGTCTTTGCGATAGAACTTGAGGCCGAGTGCAGAAGATTTACCAGGGGATTTAGGGATGATTGTTACTTCGTGCTGGAAAGAAGATCCAAACGAACGGCCAAATTTCACGGAGATAATTCATATGCTCCTCCGTTACCTCTCCACTGTTTCGCCGCCACAGATCGTTCCTCCTCCGGTTAGACGGGTTTTCTCGTCGGAAAATGTAGTCTTGTCACCAGAATCTCCAGGAACTTGTTCTCTGATGGCTATCGGAGACAAAGATGGTTCTGGTCAGACCGTTAACACTGCTGATTCGTCAGAGAAACAAAGGAAAGGAAGCTTCTTCTTCTGCTGCTCATAGTTGATGGATTTACATACTTCGGTTGTAATTTGTAAAGGAAACTGAAAGAAAGATATGTAATAATGTCTTTATCATTGTTCTATGAATGAGATTTAGCTCAGAATCTTATATCACAAGAACGAGAAAATTTATTGTTGTGACTTTGTGTGTTGATGATATTCATATTACATCAAAACCCGGGGATCCAAAATGGAAAAAATACGCCGTTGCCGGGGATCGAACCCGGGTCACCCGCGTGACAGGCGGGAATACTTACCACTATACTACAACGACTCTGTTGCTCAAAACAAAGAAAAAATATTTATAATTCATCCTTTTAAAGATCGTCTTCTTCTAAAACCCTGAAACCCCCTTACGGGGACCTTACAGTTTCTCTCTCCTTTGTTCGATATTTTTGCCAGTTTCTCCTTCTGCTTCACTGGCATAAGGCCAAATGTTCGCTACGAGGAGTCTCTCGAGACATTGCTCGAGAACTTGTAAATGGTCCTTATCGCCCCTCCTTCAATCCGATTCCTGCAGGTAATTTCAGATTCCAAACTCTACCCCATTTCCCACCACTGATCCTTTTTTCTGTATTTAAATTGAGATTTACTGAATACCCAGTTTCGATTAAATCCCCCAAAGTTTATAGCTTTTGTTTGCTATCGTTCCTTGGAATTTATTATCTGAGGTTTGGAGCAATCGTGAAGATTAGTCCTCTTGCTTATGTTTTTGCCGATTTCGTTATTGAAGGAATCTGGTTTTGTCATCGGATCCGGTTACAAGCAATGTGATGCTGCAGCCTGGTAGCTCTATTGAAGGCAATTCCAATTCATTTCTGCCTTTGATGCATCAAGTCTTCAAAGGATGGTCTCGACCTATGTCAACATCGAGAGGAAGGAGTATGAGAAGCAAAGTGGAGAGTAGAATGCGTAAAGAGTCTGGTAAGACTTTAAGAGAGATTAGGAGAGCTAAAAAGTTGAAGAAGAAACTCATGACTGATGAAGAAAGGCTCATTTACAATCTCAAAAGGGTATGTATATATATGCTTCATAAATCATATTTTGTTAAGATTAAGACTTTGTGTGAGGCTTATTGTGAAAAAGTATCGTTAGGTTAAAGCGTCGGTTGTATAAGATAGTTGAATTTTTGTAGAGAGAGTTGCATTGTTGAGGTCTCTCTTTTCTTATTCTTGTTGCAGGCGAAGAAGAAAGTTGCGCTTCTGTTGCAAAAGCTCAAGAAGTACGATCTTCCTGAGCTGCCATCTCCGGTGCATGATCCCGAGCTTTTCACACCGGAGCAGATCCAAGCGTTCAAGAAAATCGGTTTCAAGAATAAAAACTACGTCCCTGTAGGTGTTCGTGGAGTCTTTGGAGGAGTGGTCCAAAATATGCATATGCACTGGAAGTTTCACGAGACGGTGCAAGTTTGCTGCGATAACTTTCCAAAGGAAAAGATAAAAGAGATGGCGACCATGATAGCGAGACTGAGCGGTGGGGTAGTCATAAATATACATAACGTGAAAACTATTATTATGTTCCGTGGTAGAAACTACCGGCAGCCCAAGAACCTAATCCCTGTCAATACCCTCACAAAACGAAAGGTAAAGCAGTTTAACTCTTCGATATAAAGTATCATTTTCTTGATTCTTCCTTCAAAATTGAGCCCCCTTTTTTGTTAAAGAATGATACTTTAGTTGATATCAGTATTAGGAATTAGACTATGGTTGCTCTAGACTATCCAGATTAGGATAACATTTCTTAACGACATGCTCAAAGCCCAAAAATTTGGGTCAGACAGGTGTTTGATTTAAGAATCACTGAAGTGTGGCTTGCTCTAACAATCGTTTTGTACTGGTATCGTATGAACAAGTATCTATGTTTTGCAGGCTTTATTTAAAGCGAGATTTGAACAAGCGCTTGAATCTCAGAAGCTGAACATAAAGAAAACAGAACAGCAGCTACGGCGAATGGGTGTTAACCCTGAAGATCCGGTTGCCATGGCTAGTATCCAGAGAGTGGCCTCAACGTTCTTCAATGCAATCGACAAAAAAGAAGGAAGTCCATATGTATTTCATGGAGATAAACAATCAGAACGAGGGACTAGCATTGTAAATACAGAAGAATCAGAACCGGCTGATGAAGATAGTGACCAGGAGGAGCTAGACAAGTTCATAGCTGAGATAGAAGAGGCAGCAGACAAGGAGTGGGAGGAAGAGGAAGCTGCGGAGCAAGAAGAGTCTGGTAGAATAAGGTATTGGAACCGAGAAGAGTTTGCAGGAAGAAGCAGAGGACCTGACATGCGTAGTTATGGAGACTCAAGTCATGGCTTTAGACGAAACGAAAGGGACACACATAGGCAGAGGAGATCCAACGATAGTGATGACAGTGATCAATTGGATTCTGAGGATGATGAAATTCCAAAGAGATTTGATAGAGCTAGATCAAATACAAGAATGCAGGGAGAGAGTTTTAAGAGAAGAGGCCTTGATCCTCGACCTCGAGCAAGGAGTGATGATGATGTGTTGAGTGACCTTGATAACACAATGTGGGATTCAGAAGATGAAAAAGTTGCACCGGCTAATTATATTTCGAGCAGCGATGAGGACGAAGATGAAAACAGGACAGTATCGGCATCCAAAGAACCGAGATTCAGGAACAATAGTTCAAGAGGTCGTATCAACAATTCGAAGACGAAGAGTGGAAAACAGAGGGATGAGGATTGGGACAGTGATTAGAAATGAAGAACATGAGATCTCAGAGTTTCTGATATTTTCATTTGTTATCACTGGTTTCTGATTATTAAAATGTTAAAACTCTTGTCTGAGTATTGAAAGCTCGTATTTTTGTTAGCTTCGGTTTGCAATGATTCAGTGGATGACGAAGAACATGATATGCCAAAGCTCTGTTCACTGCGATTGTAATTCCATTTCTGGTTTTGCAGTGGCAAATTAAGATGATTTGTATGCAAAGAAAAAAGACAGTTATGTTTGTGTGTGTTAATTTCTCCTAATTGCTTAACGAATTCGTAAAAGTCGACTTTTGAGATCAGCTTTAACACAGTATACGTATTCCAGAAGGTTACCTCCTCTTTGAAGTCAAAAGAGAATCTGTTCAAAGCAGTTTCATGGATAACGGAGACACATGGCAGATAATTCTTTCTGAAGAAGATAAACATTTTTCACTTGAACGCAAAGGCTTGCTTTTGCTTCTTGATTCATTGCTAAGTTGGCATCCAAAAGTAATTCATCAGCATCTTCTCAGAAATTGCTTCGCCCCCAAAATACCCTTGAAGAAAGATAGAACAATCCAGAATCTCACGACAACAACAACAACAAAGCTTAAACTTTAAAACGAACAAAAAGTTTCAGACTAGGCATAAAAGCAAGAGGCTGATGAGCAGCCAGAATTCAGATCAGAGAAAAGAATGCTTAATAGATAGATGGAAAATGAATAAGAATGAAGTAAATAACCGATATAACCAGAACAAAAAAGCCTTGAAGAAAATGTTATATAAACAAATGGATCCTGAAACATCTATACTACTCAATCAGTCCTTAGGCAGCTTCATTTCCTTCCCATTGTTGAAAAAACCTGGGAAGTGCTGTGCAGCTCTAACTCAAAGTAAGCTCCTTTTTTCTCACATACCCTCCTGTATCAAAAGAAACTGATGGAAAAAAATTCTCAGAGCTAAGCAACTGAATCCAGCATTTGGGTTATATACGCTTCCTGACTAAGTATCAAAACCAATCATGACGTTTTTTTTTTCTTTAATTTCTCCTCTCTGGGTCAAAAGATTGCGCCTTTTATCTCAAGAATGATCCGAATAAGTGGCCCTGAAGCTTGACCAAGTCTATACAAGAACACCTTCGATGTGTTCATCATATAAACCCTGTCTGTTTTTCTCTTACGCAATTACCGGGTAACAAGTATTTGTACTGCTCGGCGTTATCCAGCAGGTACGAAGGAAGATGAACAGCTGAAAAAGACCGAGGTACAGGTCCCATTTTGCCAATAATCTCCTTGAATGTGTACTCTTCAGGCAACATATCAAACAAGTTAGTTCCTTTGCAGATAACATCTTGAATCCTCCTCGGATTCAGGTAATGAGAGAACCTGACACGATCCGAGTGACTGTAAGCTTTCATCTTGAACACAAACTCGCTTATGTAACGGAAGCAGAAGCTGCAATGCCACCCTGAATCAGACAGCACAACATTGCTCTGACGGTAATGAGCATACCGAGTCTTCCCTGGCCTGTACCGGTGTACAGACGCTCTCCAGCTCTTGCTATCGACATAGTATTCGAAAGAGTACAAGTAGTTCTTGAGCTGAAGGTGAAGAACCGGAGGGATATCATCACACCATCTCAAAAGGTTGATCGTGTGAGCACTCGGGATCTCATCAACATCAGACATTATCAGCAGATCATCCTCTTCAATGCCAGCTATCCTAAGAAGCTGATCCAACGCAACACGCTGATACGCTTCTTCAACAAACGGATTCTCTCCTTTCCTAAACCGTCCTCCGATCGTCCCGTAAGTTAGCCGCGGCTCCACGAAGCTGAACTTATCCTTGTTGCTCTTGAAGACCAACGGTTTAGGCAAACCAGTGAACGTTGAGTTGGACTCAAGAAGCACGAATTGTGTCACGTAAGGATAAAGCTCCTTCCAACGAATTGTTAAGAGATCCTTCTCGTTACTGAACAGAACCGCGTCGAAGACACGTCTAGGAGATTCTCTGATTCCCCAACCGTGAAGACTGCAGAGAGACTCCATTGTTATGTTCTCGGTGTAGTAATGAGGAATGGTCTGAAACGGTTTTGGAGGCGATTCCCAGAGGGGTCTGAAGAAATAAGTGAACTTTTGGCCGTGTAGATAGATTGCAAAGATAACAAATGGCATCACAATAAAGAGTAATAAGTATGTTCTAAGGTCGAAACCTTGAAGAACACATTTAAGCCTTGAGATTGTTGCAGCTGCTTTTGATCCCTGCTGCACAAAAAAATAAACAAACAAACCAATTGATAAGATGAAACAAAATGAAACTCCAGAACAATTAACCTCAGGAAAGACGAAACAATTTGACGATTTTTGAAAATCATACTTTATAGCATTGTAGGAAAAATTCAAAGATCTTTTCAAGCAACAGAAACAATCTGGCCAATTAAAAAAAAAAGTCTCTTTTCCTTCAAAAAAAGAAGAGTTTTCACAAACTATTATCAGGTATTCGATAAAATTGATATAAACAAATTATATGAGTATTTCAATTTTCAAGCTTTGGAGAAAACTTGAAACATTAGAACTGTCAATTTTAACACCGATAAAAAGGGGCTCTCGCCATTAAATTCTTCGAGAGAGTTAGAAAATCGGAACTTTGAATTTTCACAGTGCATGGGAAATTCCTTGAAAACGAAATTTTACGGAAGTCATCGAACAGGAACAGCACGAAGGATAAAAAGACAAACTTGGAATAGAGAATTGATGAAATTTCGAGTGTCTAAGAAAAACAAAAACATGAGAAACAAACCTGTCCACAAACATCTTCGCAGATATCATCTGTCTTCTTCGAACTGTAATATCCATCGGACATGATTTGACTGCGAGAACAACAGAGGATTCGTCTTAATGTTTTACGCCTGGAAATCGTTTAATCCCCCCAAATTATATAGTACCCAGAGATTAAAAAAAATCAACAAACCAAAAGAAAAAACCAGAAACGGAAATATAGGAGGAAATTTCAAACTCCCCGAAAAACCTAAATCACCTACTTTCTTTTCCAAATCCAAATAGGTGAAGGAAAAGTTAATTCGATTGAATTTGCAGAGCCTTTTAAGGAATGGAATCTCGTAATCCAAAGAGACAAAAGGGCAATAAATATGCACTAGATTTTCTTTTTAATTTTCTCCACCGTAAAAAAAAAGAACAACAAAAAAATTAAGATTTATTTCAATTGGAAAAATATTCGGAGTTTTAAAGGTCTCGAGTCTTTCGACATTTTGAAGAAACAGACCGGTTTCAGGATTTCAGCGTAACAGATTTTTTAAAAACGCGTTTAAAACCGTTGGATTAATCTGGATTAAGTAAGAATCCTACGGTTGAAGTTAGTTTGACGCGTGGGGTTACATTAAAATCGACGATTTGTGTTCTCTTTGTGCTGATATGTGAATATTAACGTCAAGTGCCAGCAAATCATTAGTGACGAGAAGCAGTTTCTCTCAATTTTTTTTTCTTTCTTTTTAACGATATTACACTCAATCCATACATTTTTTTATCATTATTATGTTGAAAGTTGAAACCAGTCGGTCTGCAACATTTCCATAAAATGTAGTATATTGTTATTGTCTAAATGCAGTGTTTTTTAATTTCGTAAAAATAAAAACAGTCATGTTCAAGCTGCTTAAATTAACCAGAACTTTGATTATTTTATGTTGCATAAATAAATTCACCCATTGAATATGTATAAATATTTTATGAGGTCGTTCGCACAAAACTGATGTAGTCATTTCGTCGACAAGGATTCGAAAATGAAAATCCACCACATCATACATATTTGTGTGGTATAAGTTCTTAATTTAAGTTGAATATGTGCAATCGACATGTGCTATCTTGTCGTCGCTTATGGCCTAACTGATGGAAAAAAAGCATAGAATCATTTCAATAATCCAATGAAATTTATACACATAACACATGTGGATGATGTAACTTTATATATATATTTTTTAAAAAATTTTAATTGTTAATAACAAATAGTGTCGAAGACGTGCGACGAACATGCCTCATCTCCAGCGATATTGGATTTATTCGGAGACTTCATTTTCAAAGCATATTCGTTTATTCCTGTTACTATATTAGTTATGATTATATTCGTAACATTGGTTGGCGTCAAAATCCAAACTTTGAACTTTCCTATAATGTGTGGACACCGAATTGGTCTTGCACTACTTTGTCAACTGAAATAAGAGATGAGAAAAAAACATATTTTGCTGAGATTTGGTTCTCTGCAAAATAAAAAGAAATAGACAGGAGAACATTGTATGTTCCACTCAAACTACTATCATTCCACTCATTCCACTTATTCCTCTCATGTAGTATCATTTTGACCTATAAAATCGATGTGCCAAAGGTAAACTCAAGTTCAAAATTACTTTTTATTTTTTAAGTCTCTGTTACGAACAGCGTGTTATTCGACCATTATCATACATGTATGATCTATGTATATTAGTTTAATTTTAATTATTCTCTTGAAATAACGAGTGTAATTTAACTCCATCCTTTATTGATTGGTTCAATTCAACTCTTGTTTTCTAACCATTGAATTTAATTGACCATGCTAGTTGAGTGACGTCTTTTTTTGTTTATTGTCAACTCTATAAGTGGCACATGTGGGATATACAACGAAAAAAAAAAAATTAGGTGGGATATACTCATTTACGAGAATGCCAAAATGAATAAGTTTAAATGTACATTCAAATATTGTTAATAAGCATAAATAAGCACCAAGTATAGTTACTTCAACTAAAAAAATACCAAATGATCTCATGTAAAGTGTAAAGGTCATATGATCAAGTAACATTTGAAATGATATCATATAACATGCTCTGATCTCAGGTCTAAGGGATCTTAAGGCATGTGGTCCATAACCTCATAATGTTTATACGTATGTAATTATTATTATAGTTACCAGGTACATATGTTTTATAAATGTTTCATACACTTCAAAATCTGTTAAATGTAAAGTGCGCGCGGGATCAAAAGCTAATTTATACTCAGATGTTAGTGAATACAATTAAACGTAAACCCATTGGACTTAAATGGGCCCATATTTGCTGACAAAAAAAAATCTGACAGAAATAAATTAAAAATGGGCCCATATTTAACCGTAGTCGATTGCTATTCGATAGGACTTAGGAGCTAGTATCTGGTGCGGGCGTGAGTACATTATGTTGTCGACCTTCCTCTTCCCTCATTTATACTTTCATCGCGGCGATCGGACGGTTTATCAGCTTTCTGACTTTGCTTGAACAGATCGGTCAGGTGAAAAGAGAGACTCTGAGAGGCAGAGATCGGCGCGATCTGTCGCGGTTCACTGATTGGAGGATTCGTCTTCCTTGTCTAATCCTGTCCCTACTGCATAGTCTGTAAGCTGTTCAATTCTCGCCATTGTCAGTTGTTTTTCTCTCTGTGTGATAAAATTCGCAGTTCGAGGGTTTTTTAGTTTGCTTCTCCGTTTCTGTATTGGTTTGCATTGTTGCTGCTCCAGGTTTGGTTGAAATTTCTAGATTTCTGTTGTTTCAGGTAATTTTCTGGGCTAACGAAATAATGGATTTGGCATCCCGTTATAAGGTAACATTTCATTTGATTGTTCTTGTATCTTATAGAGCTTAATTTAGCTGTTAGGTTTTTGGGCGATTTAAATATTGGTGCCTTTTTTTTTTCGTGGGATCGAATGCATGTTCTTCATTCTTTTCTGGGTTTTGCATTGGGTCAGTGTCATTTTTGGTAGTTTCTTAACGTTGGAGAGAGGGACTGCTAGTCTACTTAACATGGAATCGGCAGAGAAATTCACACTGTATTGTGATTTTAATAGCAGCATTACAAATTTTTCCGGTGTTTATACTTGTTCTTAACTTGTACAGGGGGTTGTTGGGTTGGTTTTCGGCGACAATCCATCTTCAAATGAAGACAGGTACATTTTCTTCTCTTTATTTACTACAAGTCGGGAGATATAGCATGTTCCTTTGTCCAACATTGACATCTTGTATATCATGGCCTGTATGTATTCGAGAAAATTAATTTAATGAGGATTGGATTTTATTCGTTGTATTTTCATAGTTACATTCAACGCCTGCTGGATCGTATAAGCAATGGTACCTTGCCTGATGATAGGAGAACTGCTATAGTAGAACTTCAGTCTGTTGTAGCAGAAAGTAATGCTGCTCAATTAGCTTTCGGGGCATCCGGTAAGTGTCTTTTTTTTTTTTTTTTTTTTTTGTTATGCTCCTAATGATTGTTAGATCAAATCCAAAGTTGCAATCTACGTTCTTATTTCAGGATTTCCTGTGATAATGAGCATCCTAAAGGAGCAACGGGATGATGTTGAAATGGTGCGATATCTTTTTTTCGTATGTCTTTTGTTACTAGCTTAGGTTGTGCATATTCTCTGTTTGTCCTTTCGTCATAGCACACCCTATTGCCCTTACTTTGTGTGTGTGAAAAATGTGGTAACGTTCGTTGAAGCATTTTTATAAACTCTATATCCGTAGTCCTTGCAAACAGTGTAGTGACGGATAATGCAGATCAGAATAGATCCACTAGTCCAGGGGACAAATCTATAGGAAATGGGAGGTGGAAACGGACAAATATTTTAAAGAGTTAATTTTCTTTCATTCTAGATTTTGGTCTAGCATCAGATTCGTAACTACGAAATTTGCACTTGTAAATCCATAGGAGTATCCGGAGTTTGTTATTGAGTTTCTTGTTGATGTTCAAGAAGAGTTTGCTATTCTTCAACTTATAGTTTTGTTGTCTGTCCAGGTTCGAGGTGCCTTAGAAACTCTTCTTGGCGCTCTAACGCCAATCGATCATGCAAGGGCACAAAAAACTGAAGTCCAGGCAGCTCTGATGAACTCTGACTTGCTCTCTCGTGAAGCTGAAAATATCACTCTTCTTTTAAGTTTGCTGGTTAGAGTTCACTCTATACTTTTGAAGCGAAGAATATAATTTTGTTTTGTTCGCTTTTTATGCGTGCATCATATTGATTGTTGCCCTGGTGATATGGCAGGAGGAAGAAGATTTTTATGTTCGATATTACACTCTTCAGATTTTGACAGCACTTCTCATGAATTCTCAAAACAGGTATATATCTTAGGAAGTACCATCTTTAGGTCAGCTTTCTACATATATGCTACAGAGACTTTTGCTGACTGTCTCTTCAGGTTGCAGGAAGCTATTTTGACCACTCCGCGCGGTATAACTCGACTCATGGATATGCTAATGGATAGGGAGGTAAAAAAAAAAAAACTATATCTTGGATAAGAATGAATTATGATCTTGTCGTTGGTTTACTTAAGAGTCTAATATCTTAAGCCTCCATTTGTCCTCAAATAGGAGGTTATGAGACGGTGAACTCTGGGAAGGGATGAATATTATATTCCTTAAATTATACTTTTTTGGTGTTTGTCTTATAGGTAATCCGCAACGAGGCTTTGTTGCTTCTTACGCACTTAACGCGTGAAGCAGAGGTGAGAGCTCCTAGTCATCTTTGTAACTGTTACTTTCTGCTGCCTTGAACTAAAGCAGCCATTGGATATTATCGATCTCACAATTGATTACCTACTTGTAGGAGATCCAAAAAATTGTTGTCTTTGAAGGTGCATTTGAAAAGATTTTTAGCATCATAAAAGAGGAAGGGGGTTCAGATGGCGATGTGGTTGTGCAGGTTACCAGTAGCTCTTTTTAAAATATTTATAGCACCTGTATTCTGTTAAAAATTTGGCATTTAAAAAGAATGAAGAAGCCACTTCTTTGATTTAGGACTAAACTTTATTGACACTTACACTTCCATATGTTGTCTTCCTGCAATTGTTTTGCAAGCACTTCCAGGGTGCATTATATGTGTATGCTTAAATTCGAGTTCCTTGTCCATGAACGTCCACTACTTTTGCTCTTTCTTTACAGGACTGTCTGGAGTTGCTGAACAATCTTCTTCGCAGCAGTTCATCGAATCAGGTTTTTGAAGCTTTGTTTCGGGTCTTAAATTTTCTGATTCATTTACTAAATCTGCACATCAGGCTGATAATCGAACTTTCAGATACTGCTAAGGGAGACAATGGGTTTTGAACCGATCATTTCAATTCTAAAACTGCGAGGGATTACATATAAGTTTACCCAGCAAAAGGTTAGATCATAGAGTGCGTCTCCCATTTTAGATTTATTCTACCAGCTCGTGCAAGTTTGTTAATCTTTGTCCTTCTGAATGAACAAAATCCCAGTAGACTGTAAATCTACTTAGTGCACTGGAGACGATCAATATGCTGATTATGGGAGGTGCAGACACGGATCCTGGAAAAGATTCAAACAAGTTGGCAAATAGAACGGTTTTAGTTCAGGTTTGTTATGATATATAAAGGCTGCGATTGTTCATTGCGGACTATATGGAATGCTTCTTATACTGTCATTATTTAATTCATTTACAGAAAAAGCTGCTGGACCACCTACTGATGTTGGGTGTTGAAAGCCAATGGGCACCTGTTGCTGTTCGCTGCATGGTAAGCAAATCTTCTTTAGCCAATTTTTTGTTTTTCTCCCTTGGCCTTTCCCTTCTTGTTATCATTCACATTTCATTGTATATCAAAGTACCTTTTCTGATTAGTGCGATGACAAGAGGTCTTAATGATTTCGTCTAGATTCTAGAATTCTACAGTTGAACCTTGTTTCTAGGCTGACCATGGAACTGATTTGCTTTAGTCCCTTTCCTTTCTCGTTATCATTCAAATTTCATTTTACATCAAATACCTTTTCTGATTAGTGCAAATGACAAAAGTCGTAATAATATGATTTAGATTATAGAATTCTACTATTCAACCTTGTTTCTACGTTGACCACGGAACTGATTTACAATGCTTTATTAGCAGTTTTTTTTCTAGAGTTTGTTGTTGTATCATTAAGGCAACTGTCTGAAGTCCAAGTTTCTAATTGCTTCTATTTAGTTTACTTCTTTTGTTACAGTAATCTTATTATTAGAAAAGTTACAGTAAGCTTAAGTTTCTAATGGGTCTTTTTGTGATTCTGCTAGACATTTAAATGCATTGGAGATCTAGTTGATGGTCATCCCAAGAACCGTGATATCCTTGCTAGCAAAGTTCTTGGTGAAGATCGGCAAGTAGAACCTGCACTGAATTCTATCCTCCGTATCATTTTACAGACGTCTAGTATTCAAGAGTTTGTTGCAGCTGATTATGTTTTCAAGACCTTCTGTGAGGTTTGGATCTTTTGTCTTATATCTTATTATTTCAATGTGAGCTTGCAGATTCTATTATAGTATGTGATGCTCATCAGTCCGAATTTTCGTATGTGTGCATCTTTATCTAGAGTCTCATTTCCAAATCTTTACAGAAAAATCGGGAGGGTCAAACAATGTTAGCTTCAACTTTAATACCTCAACCACACCCCACCGTCCGAGATTCTCTAGAAGATGATGTCAACATGTCTTTTGGCAGGTGTTATATCCTCTTCCTTTCAGCCTTCACAGTTTTGTTTTGAAAGGATCTCACTGCTTCATTCTCATTGCGATTTCGAGCTAACTCTCTTGTCTCAAAACTTATTGGAATTATATATATGTGTGTCAGTATGCTGTTACGAGGCCTTTGTTCTGGTGAAACTGATGGCGATCTTGAGGTAAATTTGTTTGTCTCTCTGTTGGATATTAATTTAAATGTCTTCCGGAACTTAAAATTTATTTACTTAGAACAGACATGTTGCCGAGCTGCGAGCATTCTTTCTCATGTTGTGAAGGACAACAATCAGTGCAAGGAAAAGGTAAATGACTTCAATGTCACCTTGACATATACCTTATGTTCTGCACACAATAATCTCTGTCTTGGCATTGGCTGACTGTTTCTGAAAATCAACAGGCTTTGAAAATAGTACTTGAATCACCTATGCCTTCCATGGGAACTCCAGAGCCTCTCTTTCAGAGGATTGTGAGATACCTAGCCGTTGCTTCTTCCATGAAAAGGAAAGATACATCAAGCACATTGGAGAAATCGTATATTCAACAGATCATCTTAAAACTGCTTGTCACGTGGACTGTTGATTGCCCAGCTGCAGTCCAGTGCTTTTTAGATTCACGCCACCACCTAACGTATCTGCTCGAGCTGGTAGAAAACCCAGCTGCAACAGTTTGCATAAGGGGCTTGGCGTCTATTCTACTAGGAGAATGCGTCGTCTACAATAAATCAAATGAGAATGGTAAAGATGCTTTTGCTGTAGTTGATGCTGTGAGCCAGAAGATGGGGCTCACATCATACTTCTCAAAGTTTGAAGAGATGCAGAGCAGCTTCATCTTCTCTTCCTCCAAGAGACCTCAACAGGGTCATAAACCGTTGACAAGAACAGCCACGCCTAGTGAAGCTGAGATTGAGGATATGGACGAGGCAGATGCGGTGGATAAGGGGAATGAGGATCACTCAATGCTCCTGTCGTTGTTTGATCCTAGTTTCAAAGGCTTAGTAAAGAGCCTTGAAGGTAACATTAGAGAGAGAATCGTGGACGTGTATAGTCGGCCAAAAAGTGAGGTGGCTGTAGTACCGGCGGATTTGGAGCAGAGGAGCGGAGAGAATGAGAAAGACTACATCAACCGGTTGAAAGCCTTTATAGAGAAACAGTGCTCAGAGATTCAGGTACGTGCCTCTTTCTCAACTCGTCTATGAGTATAATACAATAAGCGTATTTAAAAGCATGACATTTAGGGTTTGATTAGAATTAAAGAAAAAGTCTTCAGATTGACTCTTCACAAGTAACATTAAAATTTAATAATAGATGGGAGATTTAGGGAATTCTGCCAAAATAGCGGGAGTAGAGAGCATTGCATCTTGTTACAATGTAAAATAGGAAGCACTAAGTTTCTGCGAAGATGGTATTAGTGCGAAGTATTAGGTCCTATCAGTGGGAAACCAAACAGTTCTCGTACAATAGGTCTCCCAAAATTATGTGATATATATATGTTAAGGTTAACCGAGAAAAAAAGAAATGTCGACATCAGTTGTGCCTCTGTGTTTTCCAGAAACTTCTTGCTCGGAACGCTGCTTTGGCAGAAGACGTAGCCAGCTCTGGCAGGAGTGAGCAATCTCAAGGATCAGAGCAAAGAGCAGGTACAGTAATGGAGAAGGTTCAGATGGAAAGCATCAGGCGAGAACTCCAGGAGACATCTCAGCGTTTAGAGACAGCCAAGGCAGAAAAATCCAAGATTGAGTCTGAAGCATCAAATTACAAGAACATGGCCGTGAAACTTGAATCAGACCTAAAAAGCCTATCGGACGCATACAACAGTCTAGAACAAGCGAATTACCATCTCGAGAAGGAGGTGAAGTCCTTGAAAGGAGGAGAAGATCCCATGGAGTTTCCTGACATAGAAGCGATTAAGGAAGAAGTGAGAAAGGAAGCTCAGAAAGAGAGTGAAGACGAATTAAACGACTTGTTAGTATGTTTGGGCCAAGAGGAGAGCAAAGTGGAGAAGCTAACGGCGAGGCTGATAGAATTAGGAGTTGATGTCGATAAGCTTTTGGAGGATATCGGGGAAGAGTCAGAAGCTCAAGGGGAATCTGAGGAAGATGACCATTAAACATGTTGTAGAGATCAAATCCTCTCCACAGGTAATCTTTAAAGCTAAAGTCTCAAGTTCTTTGTGCGCATCTGTCGGAACTTTGTACAGTCTTGGGTGGTGTATTTTCCTTGCTTAATCTTCTCTAACTTTTTAATTTAATATTGACTCTCCAACTTCTTAAATTGTTTCAGATATGTTGCAGATTCCATATACATTTTAACATTGTACTCAATGTGATTTGAAGTTTCTGCAGCTGTTGTGTTTCACATTTTGTTGTGAGAATCCAATTTAAAGTTCAGTTATTTTCTTTTAAAACATGCTTAAGATAAATCTGGATTTTGGTATGGGAATAAAATGAAAATCAACTATTTCATCGTAGTGATTACCTTGAGAAGCAGGAATGAAAAATTAAGATACATTGTAGAAGTCTAACACAGAAAATTCACTCTACAGTTCCAACAAATCGCACACGCATTATACAGAGGAGAATAATTTAGGGTTAATCTGTACAAAGTGACGCCATTAGACCCGTTGGCGAGCTCCATACGGCAAGATCAAATAATGACTGCTTCTTTTCTTCTTCTTCCATTCCACATATGTTTTCTGCAACTTCGCACAGGTTTGAGACGTCATTGATTATCACTTCCTGTGCTTCTGCCTGCAAATTTTTCAAAAAAAACAAAAAAACCAGACGTTTTTTTTTAATGAGATTTAAGGACATTTCAATTTAATCGAATGGGTGAGAAAAACCCTATTTACCATAGAAAGAAGTTCGTCGAGCATAGACGACGCCGTGGCGGAAGCAGCTTCTCCGCAATGCTCTCGACCTCGAGACTTCGGAAATGACGTCGTTTCGTTCGCATTTGAGCTCTCTCCTCGCTGCGGCGTTTGAAATCGACCGGACTTCTCGTGCATAGCATTCAAGCTGTTCGACAAAATCTCCCACTGCTCGATCTCTCTCTGGTACTTCCTTTTGAGCTTCACCAGAATTCGTTTCCTACGCATCCTTCGATTCCTCTCCTCTAACTCCGGATCCGGCGGTTTGGAAGCTTCTCCAGCGCCGGAGGTGTCCTCTGAGCCCAAGATACGGCTTTGCTTGTAAACGAAGCCATCTTCGTTGCAAAGTTCCCAATCGTCGTCTTCGTCTATCGCAGTCGTCGGAATTGGTGGGTCCATCAGCCGCGGAAAACACCGGAGCGGGAATTTTCAGCCGCGCCTTGATTTCAGAAAGTAAAGAAGGGACTTGGATTTGTTTGAAGAAGATCTGCAAATAGAAAGATTTACAGCTCAGACTCGTATTGCCATACATCGTATAAAATGAGTTTGGCCCGATAGCTAAACAGTTAAGGCCCAATATAGATAGGTCCATAATGAAGGCTATCATAACATATTTGAAATTGGCAGCAAACTGTAATATTTAATAAAACTTTTTTTTAACTGATTTTTAGTAAATTTTTATATAATCAAGGGTTCAATGAAAATTAAAGAAAAGTTAAGGGCCCAATTTTACTATATGACACATGGTCCACCTTATCTTTGAGCCATTCCTGCTATCGTATATGCATATTAACTCCCAAATCTTTGTTGACTACGCAGAATTGGATTTCATAAAGCCATACGTTAATTTTTAAACGGAGATGTTCAAAATTTCAAACGTTACTTTTGACTATTACTGTCTCTAAATGCTGAGATGTTTCATGGAGTTCTCGCCTGATGTTTTCCATCTGAACATGACTTAATTTGTTGTATTATAATTTAGTTTAACAGAGCTCATAATGCATGATGTCGTTGTGTCTCTATCCAATTACAAACCAGACATAATATAGTTTAGTTTTAAGAAATTTAAGACCCCGCCCCTTTTATTATTAGAATGCGAATAATTAATATTGTATCCTTAGTTGTTCAATTTTCACTTTGACCTCGCAAAAGAGAATTAGGTTTTTTTTTTCTATTTTCTCTTTTAGAAAGTTGTATTGATATGGATTGACACAATCAGATCAAATATTTTCTTTTATTTTTATTTTATTTTTTTGACCAAATATATTTTATTTTGTTGTTTCATTTTTCGGGGGTAGTTGGCACGTTGGAAGTTCTCCATTCATTGAATAATTTCTCAGCAATAGAAGAATCTCAAAACTAGATAAAAATTGTATCATTGAATTGAATTAGCTTTCATTTTAAGTGGATGAAGTGAATTAATAAGTGAATTTCAATTGTATGTTTGGGAGTAATTCTATGAACCAGACAATTTTTTAGGTTTTAGGTTTTTGATGGATTTCATAAATTGATTGAATGAGATTGTTAGAATATGATGAATTATCATTCTAATTTTTTACCTACTGAAATTTTCTAATTTATCACCTACTGAACTTTAACTACCGACTTAGTTTCTTATCTACGAAAAAGCAGCAGCCATGGTAACAAGAACTTGATGGAGCTTGACTTTTCCTTCGAAGAAAAAAGACTTGAAGAAGACTTTTTCATTTTTTTTTTTCCTATTTCAAACTAAATATAAACAAAACAAAGCAAATTTGTAAGAAAACATTAAGAAAGTTTCAACGAAGAGAGATTGAATGAAACAAGTTTGAAGAAAGAAGATAAAATTGATAGAGAATCATAACCACTAGGATTAGGATTAGGATCAAAGGCTGTGATACTATATATGACATGTATTATAGAATAGCTATAGTATTATTGAGTTGTTGGTTTGATTTAAGATCATAAGACTCAATGCGAGCTGCTTCTGCCCTCGCTAATCAAATCTTATAAATTTTGTATTCCAGGATAGTGATTTTCTGTAATTTAATTTAAAATAATAAAAAAAACGGGGAAAACTTGCGTGTTGAGAGTTGAGACTTATAAGAGTTAGACAAGCAAAAGATAAGATCATAACATAGAGGAAGTAAAGAAGTCTATCAACCATAAGTCAACTTGAATGAAATAAATAAATTGTGATATCGTGCTTAGGAGTTACATTAAAAGACCACAACTAGTTAGTGACTTATCTTTCCGATATATTTAAGCATATCTATAAAATAAAAGTAACTATGGACTTATGGTGGAAATGTAATGTTATCAAAAATAACTTAGGACTATCAAAATAATTAATAAGGGGGAAAACTTGCCAATTTAGAAGAGCAAAGATTAGGAGGTAAAGAAGTTGACGAAAACTCACATGGCAGACAAAATCAAAGGGGATAATCGAGGTTAGTGTTTCAACTAAACAAAGACTATTTTAACAAACAAAAAAAACTAAACAAAAATACGTGCCCACTAACTCTATTATTGATAGATTTGTCAACGTAAATATTTAATATAACAATTGATTTAAGTAGGTAGAAGGACAACAATAATGGATCCATTATTACAAAAAAAAAAGGTCCATCTACGCAAACATTGATTTGCATTCTCTCCATCTCTGATAAGCGCAAAATAGCCATGACTAAGACGAGTATTAAAGGACACGACGACCATCCTTTGTGCCTGATTAGCCATGGTGACGGTTTGGAATGCGATGCTTGCGACGGGTCGTATCGGGACGGCTTATTTTGCGATGAATGCAAGTTTACTGTTCACAAGAAATGTGCCTTTGTGTTTAACACACAAGAGACATTGTTCAAGCACCCTTCTCATGATGGACATGGTCTCAAACTTCTCACAACATGGGCTCCTGGTAACACCGATCCGAAATGCCATATCTGCGGTAAAAACACCAAGCGCCTTCCACTACAAGAAAGATCGGCTTTTACGTCGGCAGATATCGACGTAAAATCGACGTAAAAGAGCATTTACGTCGAATTAACGACGAATTAAAAATCGTCGTAAAACGATCGTCGTAAAACCGAAATCGTCGTAAAATCGTCGTAAAATTACCAACTCCGGAAAATCGTCGTAAAATCGTCGGGAAATATTCGTCGTAAAAGCGTCGTAAATTTTCCAACGGATGTACAACGAAAAAATTCCATCATAAAAACGACGTAAAATCAATGTAAAATTACATCGATTTAACAACGATTAGGAGACGAACAATTTCAATTAAAGGAAACTAAATTTTTAATTATCGATGTTAAATCGTCGTAAATTTTTGACGTAAAGCCGACGTAAACTTATTCGTCGTAAATTCGTCGTTAAATATTCGACGTTAAATCGACGTAAAATTTATAAATTAATTATTTAATTCGATTATAATTTAATTAATGAATTTTTAAAATAATCAAAAAATTAAAAATAGAATTTAAATTCAAAAATAATTTATAAATAAAAAAAAATTTATACAAATTGTTTTTTACAAAAAAACCTAATCTACAATGATGTCGTAATCGTCGAGATTGAGATCGACGTCACGAGGAGGCTCTCCGTCTTGGCCGCCCGTCGCTGCTAAGCCGACGTTTCCCGTCTGCACTACCGGAGCCGAAGTCTGACCGCCCGTCGCTGCTGAGACCGGAGCCGAAGACTGACCGCCCTGCGTCTGGTGGTCCGATGGTCCAGTACCGGAACTACCACCGGTCTCAAAAACCCTCCGTGCTCGCTGTTGCCTCGCTCGGATTGCGGTGGCCAACTGCAGAACCGCTTCCGCAATGATGTCGAAGAGATCATGTATCTCGGTGAGCTCCTGCTTCTGGGCCACTTGCTCATGCCTGAGACTGGTGATCTCAGCATTGGCCGTAGCAAGCTCCTGGCGAAGCTGCGGATCCTGCGAGCGGTATCCGGAAGCCGTGGCGGCAGGACAGTCTCTAATAGTGCCCATCCCTAAGGTTCGGCCCTTCTTCTTCGGAGCAACCTACAAATGGAAAATAAAAACGTTTATTATTTATTAAATAATTATAAATATAATAAATTTTTAAAAAATTGAAATAGATATCATACCTCTTCGAAAATCTGGTCTTGCTCAGCGACGGTCAACGGTACTTGGATAGTACCGTCAGGTGTGGCCTGGGTCTCCCGCTCGGCGATCCGCTGCATAGCGGCATTGTAGATCTCCTCGGACCGAGCGTCGACAAAGCTCCCGTCCTTCTTCCGGTGAGTGGTCTCGAAGAGCTTCGTCATTGGAGGTAGTTCTCCTCCGTTCTCCTCGGCCTACCAATTAATAAACATTATTAGTCAAAAATATTTAATTAATTCTAGCAATAAATAAAATTAAAATAATAATGAAATAATTTATATTTAATTACTTACCATCATGAGACGTCTTCCCGCAAAAGATATTTGGCCAGAAGTGTGCGGGGTCACTAACTTCTCACCAGTCACCGGATCGACCCGGTTTCGGACGGCCGAACACTTAGCAGCGGTGGTTTGGGCATGCGGGTCCATCCAATACGCCTTCAACCCGTTCCAACACCAAGTGGACATGGAGCTCGGCTTTGCGTCGTCGCCGTCGGTCTCCCATTTCCGCTTCCAATCAGAAACGGTGTTGACTAGGCGTTTCTTCGCCTTTTCCTCGAAAGCTTCGCGGACGGTCTCGTTGATCCCGATGTCCCAGTTCCACCGTTGCTGCAAAAAAAAACAAAAAATTAGATAAACAATATAAAAGTAAGATTAATTAAATTTAAAACAATTTAAAATGATATAAATAAGATTTTAAAAATATTACCGCGAAGCACTTGTACCAGGTGTCGCACGTCTCTTGCGACACCTTGCTCCAGTTGACGTGCGGCTCCACGAAATGACTCTTAATTGTGTCGGAAACGCTCCGCCCGACACAATTATCCAAAGTAAACCTATGAAACCAAAAAAAAAATTATGACATTAATATTTAAGTAAATTAAAGCGTTAATTTAAAAACTATAAAAAACAAAAAATTTACTTACCAATAAGAGCCTGGTTCCGCTTTTCCGGGAACCAGACGTCGTAAAGCCCCCCGTCCCGGTAAGGCTAGTAAATCCTCAACCGTAAACTGGGCATACGGATGAGGAGGGGCGGGTACCGGTTCGGCAGCCGGGGCGGGTACCGGTTCGACAGCCGGCGGTGGAGGTGGTGGTGGAGGCGGTGGTGGAGATGGCTCCGCGGTATTCGGAACCTGGGAGGCTCCGGAAGATGAAGGGACATCGCTCCCGGTGTTTCCCGAGGCAGACGCCCGGGAAGAATGTCCGTCCGCCATGAAATTGATGTAATGCGTCCTCCGTCGAGTCATCGTCTGCAAAACCGAAAAAAATATTTTTCAAATTAATTACAATTAATTTTAATTACGATCCTAAATCTAACAAATTCCGAGCCTAAACTAATTCCCGACCTAAACCGTTTGAATTTCTAAACTATTTAAAATTATTATAATTTTAAGTAATTAAAAAAAATTATTTACCTTTTTTTTCGTCAAAAAGAAGAGGTGGGAAGGAGGAAGCAGAGAGAGAGGAAGGAGAGATAAGCGACGAAATGAGGAAGAGGTGAGGTCCTATATATAGAATTTATATTCGTCGTAAATTCGACGTAAATATTACGACGAATTTACGACGAATCTGTCGTAAATTCGTCGCAAAGATCCCACCGTACAACAAAGCGAGTAAGACAAACACACGTGGCTGTATCTGGGCTTTGCGACGAGTTTACGACGATCCGTGCTATTCGTCGTAAAATCGTCGTAATGTTACGACGATTTTACGACGACCCGTATAAATCAAAAAAATTAAGACGGCTGTGTATCCACTAATCGTCGTAAATTCGTCGTAACATTACGACGAATTTACGACGAAGTATACCAAAACTGATGAAATTCAAAAATTGAAACATCCATAAGGACATACAAGCATGTCTATTCATGATAAATGTGGTCTGTATAACTTTCTAGCATGTTTACATAACTTAATGAAGAATTTAGTAAGATGTAAGATAAATCCATACATCTTGTGTAAATGTATATAACACCTTAAGATTACTTGATAAACACATATATGTCAAATTTTGAATTTTTTTTTTTTTTGTTTAGAAAGTTGTTTTACCTTATGAGATGGTAAGCCATTTCATTCTCCTCATCAAAATCCCCCCTGAACCCCATAAAAGATTGATTATAAGATTTAGGGGTTACATTTCGTCGTATTTTCGATGGTATATTACGACGAATTTACGACGATTTCTCCCATTCGTCGTATTTTCGATGGTATATTACGACGAATTTACGACGATTTCTCCCATTCGTCGTAAATTCGTCGTAATAAAAACCACATTTCTACAAGTTCCTGAACCTTATACTACATACTCTTATATAATACATCAGTTTACTTAGGAAAATGAACCCAAAAACCATTCTGTAAGTTGGGAAAGCTAAACCCTATAGGGTTTAGGGTTTGCATATTACGACGAATTTACGACGATTTCTAAATAATCGTCGTAAATTCGTCGTAATAGTCAACATATGTCCAAGTCAACACTTAAACAAATTTTCATCAACATGGTTTTGGTCTTCATTAATTGGCTTTAATTTTTCAAAAATTTAAATTTGACAAATGTTACATTGAAACGTTCAAAGCATGCAATTAAATGTCAAAATATTTAATTAGTCTTCATCAACATTTTCCTCGGTGTCGTCATCATCATTGTCATCATCATCACTGCTTGTTTGAAATTCGTCAGCACCTTCTTCAGTTTCGTCCCCATGTAGATCTTCAACTTGTCGATTACGTGGATCAATTAAAAGAACATTTTCTTCAACATCCGGTTCTGTAATGTCGACACAATCATCTTGTTGCATTGGCGGGAGATCTACACCATCAATTATACCCCTTGGAGCAACTTTGACAACCGCCAGCCATGAAATTCCCGTATTCCGAACTCGAGGATATGGAACAAAGGTGACTTGTTCTGCTTGAGATGCAAGTATAAATGGCTCGAACTTATTGTATCGCCGAGATGCGTTTACATCTACCACTCCAAATTTGTTAATTCGCACTCCACGACCTACCGTAGGATCAAACCAATCACATTTGAATAGAACAGTTTTCATTCTGACTAATCCGGGGTATTCCACTTCAATTATCTCTTTGATGATCCCATAAAAGTCTACTTCACCTCGTACACAAACTCCATAGTTTGTAGTTGCCCGTTGAGTGCCATGACTATAAGTATGAAAAACATAGCCACGTGTGAAATACATAGCTGCAGTAGTTATCTTCGAAATAGGACCTAGGAGCAACTCATGAAACCATACTGCATATGTCATGTCATCATGCTCGACTTGACCTTTTAACCACAATGCATAATGTTGGTATTTTCGCTTGTTAATTTCATCTTCTGAAACACCGTCAATGCATTCTCGGACTTGACTGACGAAAGTGCTGAAATTTTAAAACATTGTTAAGGACATTTCGTATGTTCAATCAAATTTTAATCATACATGGTTATAATTATGTACCTCTCGTAAGGTGCCAATTCCTCGCAATTCAGAAGTATATATGTATGTGCGCTGTGGTAGTCTTGTTCGTTTGACCAACAAGTTTCTTTTAGTTTCCCACTTAGACGTCCAATTGGTGAGAATATATCAGGCACACCTTCTACTGCGTAACTGTGTCCTACACCCCCATCGTCGTAACGTCTTGGAGCCCGTTTCCGTGTACGAACCTTTGGAGCAAAGTAATAAGACGTGAAATGAGAAGTCTCTTCTGTCAGACTTCCCGCCACGATAGACCCTTCAACTTTTGCTAAGTTTTTGGCCTTACCCTTCAAATGCTTCATAAATCGTTCAAACGGATACATCCACCTAAACTGAACAGGTCCTCCCAACTCTGCTTCATGAGGGAGGTGTATAGGTAAATGATCCATAACATCGAAGAAAGCAGGTGGGAATATTTTCTCCAAATTGCACAACAATATTGGAATATTTGTAGACAATTGTGCAACTACATCTTCTGATAATGTCCTTGTACTTAGATCACGGAAGAAAGCTCCAATGCCTCCTAGTGCCTCATGGACATGTCCCGGTAGGAGTTCAGCAAACGCAAAAGGAAGTAACCGTTGCATAAACACATGACAATCATGACTTTTCATCCCTGAAAACTTTTGTCCTTTATCCACAGATTTAGCCAGATTAGATACATATCCATCAGGAAATTTCACGGCTGATGATACCCAATTAAACAATGCTGTTTTTTGTTCAGCACCCAACCGAAATACAGGAACAGGTGCTTTCCCATTACTCACCATATGCAACTCAATTCTGTTACATATATCGGGTAAGTCCATCCGTGATTTAACGCTGTCTTTGGTTCTTCCTTGGACGTTCAAAACAGTATGCATGATGTTATCGAAAAAATTCTTCTCAATGTGCATAACATCAAGATTATGTCTAAGCAAATGATCTTTCCAGTAAGGCAGATCCCAAAATATACTTTTCTTGTGCCAATTATGATGAACCCCATATCCGTCAGGCATATTCGCAGGAGTGTGCCAATTTCCTCCAAGGGGGACCGTTTCAAGTCCACCCCAATGATCTATTTGCGCTTCAAGCTCTACTCCAGTTAGGTACACTGGTGGAGGGAGACGAACCAATTTGTTCTTTATAAACAAACGCCTATTTCTTCTATATTGATGGTTTGGTGGTAAAAACCGACGGTGGCAATCAAACCAACAGGTTTTCCTACCATGTTTAAGCTGAAATGCATCAGTCCTATGAAGACAATAAGGACATGATAACCTCCCATGCGTTGTCCAACCTGATAGCATTCCGTATGCCGGGAAATCGCTTATTGTCCACATAAGCACCGCTCGCATCGTAAAATTTTTACCACTCGAACAGTCATATGTTCGTACTCCAACATGCCACAACTGGTTTAACTCATGTATGAGTGGTTGCAAAAAACATCAAGGGCCCGTTTCGGGTGATTTGGACCAGGGACTAATATACTTAGAAACAAAAACTCTCTTTCCATGCACATATCTGGAGGAAGGTTATATGGCGTAAGAATCACAGGCCATAATGAATATTGCCTACCAGACATACCAAATGGACTAAACCCGTCAGTGCAAAGACCAAGATAAACATTTCGCTTAGACCTAGCAAAGTCTGGATGTACGGTGTTAAAATGTTTCCAAGATTTCCCGTCAGACGGGTGAGTCATTTTGCCATCTGTTTGTGAATGTTCCGCATGCCATCTCATCGAGCAGCTGTCCGTTCGGATTGATATAGTCTTTTTAACCTATCAGTGATAGGAAGATACCATATTCGTTGGTAAGGAATCTTCTTACGCCCAGCAATTTGCGGTCTATATCTTGGCTTTTGGCAGAAACGACATTCTTCAAGCTTCTCATCATCTCTCCAAAAAAGCATACAATTATCAACACAAACATCAATCATCTCAGAAGGCAATCCAAGACTAAAAACCAGCTTCTGAATTTCATAATACGTTTCAGCAGCCAAATTATCATCTGGCAAATACTCTTTAATAAGATCTGCCCAATCGTTCATGCAAACTTCAGATAGATTGTGATCTGTTTTTATTGTCATCATCCGAGCTGCCAATGATAATTTTGATAAACCTTCCCTACATCCCTCGTACAGAGGCTGTTTTGCTGCGTTTAACATATCATAAAAGCGTTTCGCATCTGCATTGGGCTCCTCAACAGTATCAGCATGTGTTTCATGAAATGCATCAGTAATCATTTCATACATCCTATCATGATCTTCACCCTGAACTTGACTACTTTGATAATCATTGGACGCTTCAAAATCCACATGTTCTTGATGATTACTACTACTCCGTGCAGCCATCTGACCACTACTTTGACCATATCCCTCTCCATGCTGATACCAAATAAAGTATTGGGGCATGAACCCTCTATTCAATAAATGCTGCCAGACAGTGTCAATAAGAATATGTTTCCTATTTTTGCATTTCACACAAGGACAATACATTTTGCCGCTTTCAATTACAGTTTCCAAAAGGGCGGCTTGGTACATGAATATTTCCAATCCGTTTTTGAAGTCTTCAGTCAACGACCCATCACCATTTTTGGGCGTATACATCCACTTTCGTAGATCGTATATAGACATTTCAAAAACAAATATTTGACTTTTTGTTTCTGAAATTTGATAGAAATTTCAACTACCAAAAATTTTACTTAAACATTCAAAGACTCAAAAAATTTGTGTCTTTATATGTTTTTTTGGGATGATGGAATAATGAGAGATGAAAGGGTATATATAGAATTTTTTGTTTGGCTACCAACATATTACCATTGCATATTTACATCAAATTTACGTCGAAATAAAATTTACATAACATTTACATCGATTTTACGTCAATTACTAGATAGAGAACAATTCGTCGTATTATCGATGTAAATTTTACGACAAGATTACGACGAAATAAAATTCGTTCTTTATTCGTCGTAAAATCGTCGTAACATTACGACGATTTTACGAGGGTTATTTTTTACGTCGAATTTACGACGAAATTTTTGATCGTCGTAAATACGACGTAATGTCGTCGTAAATTTACGACGACTACAAATCGTCGTAAATAATTCGACGGAAAAGCCCCTCTTTCTTGTAGTGTTCTTTTTCATTGTAAGAAATGTAATCTCAATTTGGACATCGATTGCATGGTTGATGCCATGTGTGCCCGAGCAAATCTGAAGATGCCGTGGCACCATCATCCTCTGCTCTTTGTCTATCTTGATGGTTGTCTCTATTGCGATTTTTGTGGTCGTAGATTCGAAGAAGGCTACTTCTGCCCTCTTTGTAGGTTGACGGTTCACGAGAGATGTGTCTCTGTATTTGAGTCACCGGATATCACTCGCACTTGTCATGCCAAACACTCTCTTAAGCTTCTCACCCAAGGAGCTCCTGACTACACTGATCTAAAATGTCATGTGTGTGCGGATAACACTGGGAACTTACTTTATCATTGTGATATCTGTAAGTTCAACTTGGATCCTGATTGTGCGATCATAAGCCCACCACCGGTTTCTCTTTCAAATCTGAAGGTCCATGACCATAAGCATACACTCACGCTCATGCCAAGATTATTGTCATTTGTTTGTGATGCTTGTGGGGAAACAGGTGACCGTTCACCTTACGTCTGTCTTCAATGCAATTTCATGATCCATGGATATTGTGCTTATTTTCCACGTGTCATTCATATCAACCGCCATGACCACCGTGTTACGTACACGTATCCTCTTGGTCCGGGAGAATGGAAATGTGGAGTTTGTTGGGAAGGCATTGATTGGTCATGTGGGGCTTATTCTTGTTCAACCTGTCCTAATAATTATGCTGTTCATTCAAGATGTGCAACAAGAGATGACGTTTGGGATGGGGAAGAGCTTGATGGGGTACCTGAACAAGTTGAAGATATTGAGCCATTCAAGACGAATGATGACAACACAATCACCCATTTCTCTCATAGTGAACATAATATGAGCCTCAACAAAGATGGTATAGCTTTGGAGGAAAGCATCTTTTGTGATGGATGTGTTCGTCCCATTGGCTCTAACACGTTCTACAGCTGTTCGGATTGCAGTTTCATTCTACATGAAATATGTGCTAATCTTCCGAAGAAGAAACGACATTTTCTCAGCCCAAAACCTCTTACTCTCACGTACGGCGGTTCTGTTGAGACTAATGAATGCTATGCTTGTTTGCAACGTTTTGGCAGAGGATTCATGTATAGAGAAGATATTTACAGAAACGTCGACTTACTATGCAGTTCGATAACTGAGCCGTTTGTCCATGGAAGCCATCCTCATCCTTTACTCTACATCAACGTAGAGCATGATGAGGAGCTTACGAAGACATGTCAGGGTTGCGGCATACGTACAGAAGGAATGGTCTTAGGTTGCACCAAATGCAGATTCTACTTGGACTTTAGTTGCGCCACTCTACCATTAACGGTAAGACTTGACAGGTATGATGATCATCCACTCACTCTTTGTTACGGTGAAAAGGTAAGCGGCAAGTATTGGTGCGATATTTGCGAAACAGAAACAAATCCAGAGACTTGGTTTTACACTTGTAAAGATTGTGGGGTCACTTTGCATGTTTTCTGTGTGGTTGGGGATTTCAAGTGCGTTAAATCAGGAGATGTGTACTATGAACATAAATTGTTATCAAACAGCAGCTCTTCACGGCCAACTTGCAGCTACTGTCATTGCCACTGCCCAGGATCTTTCACCCTTCATGAAAATGGAAAAAATGAAGAATTCTTCTGTTCTTTCTATTGTCTCATTCTTTTCAAAGAATGGAATAGGTTCGACAAGAAGCTCATCCTCCCTCCATGGGTCAATTAACCCAAGACTTGAAGATGTGGTTATAGTCAGAGTCTTGAACTCATCTCCTTCAAGGTACCTATTGGTATCCTTTCGCTTTGTAATTTGTCATTCCCATATATGTAATATTAAACAAGCATTTTAAAAAAAAAAAATGGAAAAAACATATTCATGCGTGCTATGCCTATACGTGAAGCATGTCTGCAACTTCATATTATGGTTTTTAATTTATCTAAAACAAAAAATTTGTAGCAGAAGTTGAAATCCATTATATATGATTCAACAGAATTTTAAATAGGTTACTGTAAAAACTCATTCCTGCCAGAGCTGGCTACTTTTTTTTTTCTTTAATAGTATTGATTCAACTTCTTCTTCATTAAAACTATAATTAGTGAACCATTTATGTTTCATAACTCTTTTCAAATTTTTCTTCCATTTTTATCAAATTTTGTAGTCATTTATAATATTTATGTTTGTTGTTCTTAAATTTTGTAATTTTGTGGTTGTTGTTGTTATATCAACATAATTAAGTTTATAATAGTTATATTTTAAATAACAAATTATGTTGCCATTGTAATATATATAATTTGGTCACTGTTTATAATTCTAAATTAATGTAATAATAAGAAAACACAAAAATTGTTGTTTCATTATTTTTTTCTAAACATTTTTATTTTTTATAGAAATTTATTTACACAGTAGTATTCTGACCAACGGTTGTACGTGTAGTAAGTTATAAATTTTTAGCAAACTTGCATCATTTAATGTGCAATAATTCATATTTTATGGAAAATTAACCTTATAAATTTGATGTAAAAGCATTAATATGCAATCGAATAAATGAGCTCCACAAATTAATCGATTTATGGTAGGATTTACTTGTACTGTTGGATATTATCTCTTACCATTAGCCGAAAGCAAATGGGCATAGTTAAGATATAGCCAAGTAAAATAAGAGAGATATCCAAGAGTGATTTTTTTGTGTTTAAGATTTATGAAGAAATCCAAAGTAGATGCGTGTCATTTATGCATAGGGGAAATTTTTTTTTTACTCCCTTTTTTGAAATTCTTCTTCATGATGTTGTTGTTCTCTATCCAAGTACAAACCTGATATAATCTATTTTAGTTTTTAAGAAAATTAAGACCCCTTCTATTATTGGACCTGGAATTGGATCTTGGATCCGAAGATCGTTGTACCACCGCTTGCCCCCTACAGTAAACCGGCTCTGACTTAGTAGCATTTGTAAATTATCAATCCAAGATAGGAAATAGCGTCTACAACTAATCTCTTTTCTAATATAAAGAAAGTTTTGTTTGTATTCTCAGTTGTCCAATTTTCATCTTGATCTCACAAAAGAGAATTAGATACTTTTTCGACAGCTTGCACATTTAAATAGAAAGCTGTTTTGAAGGTCGAGCATGAGAAAGCAACACAACCCTTGTTTACGGTTCTTATAATATTTGTTAAATATATAATGTCAAATCATTGAAAAACGAGTATTAATATTCTTTTTTTGATATTTTATAAGGACAAAAATATTGATTAAAGATTTCTTAGTCAAAAAACTCTTTAAACCTAAATATTAATTACCTATTCTAAATTTCTAATTATAGTTTTATCTCATTAGGTATCAATGTATCGTCATCGATTCGATGTGAGTTGTCATGATTTTGGCTCTGTTTTCGATGATCTGGCTTGATACAATCAGATCAAATATTTTCTCTTATTGTTTTGTTTTTCGGGATAGTTGGCACGTTAAAAGTTCACTAATCGTTGAATTATTTCTCACCAATAGAATAACACCCAAACTGAAATTTGAAACTTAAGAGTTAGACACAAGCAAAAGATAATATCATAACATAAAGGAAGTAAAGAAGTCGATCAACCATAAGTCAACTTGAATGATATACATAAATTGTGATATCGTGCTTGGGAGTTACATTAAAAGACCACAACTAGTTAGTGACTTATCTTTCCGATATAATTAAGCACATCTATAAAAGTAACTATGGACTTATGGTAAAACTGTTATCAAAAATATTTTAGGAGTTAGGACTATCAAAATAAATAACAAGGGGGAAAACTTGTCTGTTGAGGATTAGAAGAGCAAATATTAGTAGATAAAGAAGTTGAAGAAAACTCACATGGCAGTCGGCAGACAAAATCAAAGAGGATAGTCGAGGTTAGTAATTTCAACTAAACAAAGATTATTATAACAAAAAACAAATAAAACTAAACAAAGACTAAATACGTGCCAGCTCTATTATTAGTGGATTTTTCAACGTAAATACTAAACATAACAAGTAAATTGATTTAAGTAACTAGAGCCTACAGGGACAACAATAATGGATCCATTATTACACAATACTAAAAGTCCAACTACCCAAACATTGATTTGCATTATTACAAATTACATATTCTAAATTTCTAATTCTGTATAGTTTTATCTCATTAGGTATCAATGTATCATCATCAATTCGTTGGGAGTTGTCATGACTTTGGCTCTATCTTCGATGATATGGTTTAATACAATCAGATCAAAATTTTCTTTTGTTGTTTTGGTTTTCGGGATAGTTGGCACGTTAGAAGTTCTCTAATCGTTGAATAATTTTATCACCAATAGAATGACCCCCAAACTGGATACTATTATATCATTGAATTAGCTTTCATTTGTAGGTGGATAATGGATTAAGTGAACTTAAATTGTATGTTTGGGAGAGATTCTATGAACCACGTTAATTTTTACATCTGAATGTTAATATGTATCTAAAATTCTAAGTTCAAACAAAAATTTGAAATCTTAAGTTATTAAATATAGTTTTAAATCAGAATCTTAGGTTATGAAATCTTACGTACTTTATGTCATATAAATCTGTGACCTGAGTTCTAGAACAGTAATCAACTGCATCCTCCTTCTCCATCATATATATTCTTGATTTCTTAAAGATTTCCAAGAATTTTACATTTTTCTATTTATAAGTTTAAATCGTTTTTTCATTTATTTATTTTACCTTAATTGCACCAACAAACAAGAATTTGATCTCTTTGCTATACTTTATTTTTGCTGAATAACATGTAATTTTGGTTCAGTGTCTAAAAGTTAAATATACGCTAGCTACTTGATCACGGCCAGTTGTATTATTGTAGATTTGTGTGACAAAAAACAAATCATTACTTAATGCATATAATAAGACAAGTAGCATTGAGTAAAGTTAGTTTCTCAGCAACAAAAAAAAAGCAGCATGGATTCAAGTATTGATTTAAGTACAGTGGCAGATCTAGAAATAAATTTAGATGGAGGCATAATTTTATAAACATGGAACAAAAAATTTAATTGGGGGCAACTTTGTTTTTACCACTAAATTTAAAATATTTTAATTAAATTTACCAAAATTATTTTAAAAAATAAAAAATTAGTAGGGGCAGTACCCCGTTCGACGTACACTACATCCGTCCCTGCTCAAGTATATAGATTATTTTAACAAAAAACAAATAAAACTAGGAAAAATTGCTTTTATATTGTCAATTGAATTAACATTTGTCCTCTTGATGTTTTCTATTTTTTGATCACTTTTTGACATAGTTGCCTTTTTAAATCAGTTATGGTAGTTATAATTAAAAATAAATTCGAAACTATATTTTAAAAATTTCAAAAATACCTAAAAATCAATTTTTATTATTATCGAATATCATTTATGGAAAGAAAATATTTTTAAAATTCGTTCTACGCTTGGTAGAATGCATGTCCTATGTTCTATGTCCACGTAGAATCCCATTTCTATAGTTCTTCACATATTCTACCAGCCTGTAGAAGTCTTTTTCTATAAGTCGTTATATATTCTACTAATTGCTAGATTACAAGTTCTACTGGATAGATTATATTCTACATGTTGGTAGAATACATCTCCTACCTGTTAGACCAGGTTCTACTTTATTGTAGAATAGTTCTTCTATCTATTGACTTCATTCTACATTAACGTAGAATATATCTTCTACCAAAATATGAGAAAATTTTGAAAAAATAGTTAAGTCCCAGATCTAAAAAATTTCAAAAATCATTTTTTTTTAGTTTTCCATGTTTTTTTATCGGGTTTTGATGTTTTTTTTTTTCTTTTTTTTGGCTGTCATCGTTATCTTCTTCTTCTTTCACATTGATCAAGAACAAAATAATTTACTTACTGAAAATTGCTTTTCTGGTGACTGTAAATGGAGAAGAAAACGGTGAAGAAAAAGTATAGGAAGTTTTTTTTTATGCTTTAGTATAGAATCTTTTCTGATTGTTTTTTTATTTATTAATAAAAGTTATTTAAAAAATAATTAATTTATTAATTCGTAATTAAAGGGTGTAATTGGATTAGATTTAAATTAAACATTAAAGAGATAAATTTTATTTAGAAAACATTAAAGGGACAAATGCTAATTCAATTAACATTACAAAGACTAAATACATGCCAGCTCTATTATTGGTGGATTTGTCAACGTAGATATCTATTATATAAAGACTCAGTTGAGTCTCACAAGTTTGACACATAAGCACTCCCTCTTTTGACACGTCAGCTTTTGAAAAAAATAATTTTCTCAATCCCAAAAAAAAATAATTCATTAGCCATGACACAAGTACAATTGTAGTTTCCATCTCGAAAAGTCATTCTCTTAGAGCATCTCCAATGGTTGGCTCTATTTTTGGCTCTAAATATAGAGTTCTCTAAAAATAGAGAAGGAGTTTATTCCAATGGTCATCTCTATATCTGACTCTAAAAATAAATATTTTATTTTATTCTTTAGTATTAATTGCTTATCAGACCTTTTACTTTTAAAATTTTAAAATTGTTCTATCTATTTTATTTTTAACAATAATTCAACATAAACATATTTTTAACATTAATTATTATAAAAATTTATTACATCACATAATTAAAAGATTAACAACTAATACATTTTTTTAAGCATCAGAATTAGTATACTTTTCCCACAAATGATCAATCAGCGCATTTCGAAGTGAGAAATAAGCTTCTTTGTCTCTGATTTTTCTATATCGCCCAAGAAATTCTTGAAATCGGATAGTTTCATCTTCTGCTATTTCCACCTCTGGTGGTGGAGCTTTTCTTCCAACTTCAATTGGTGCATTGAGATCACGCTCATCTTCGATTATCATATTACTTAAAATTATACATGTAGTCATTATGTCATGTATCACATTTTTTCCCCAAAAACGAGCTGGTCCTTTCACAATTGCAAAACGTGATTGGAGAACTCCGAATGCACGTTCTACATCTTTCTGACATGCTTCTTGTTGTGTAGCAAAATATTTTTTCTTAGGACCCATTGGCTCGTGAATAGTTTGCACAATGGTGGACCATTTTGGATATATACCATCCGCTAAATAATAACTCATATTAAACTCTTTTCCTTGAATGACATAATGACAAGGAGGAGCAATACCTTGAGCGAGATTGGAGAAAAGATGGGAATTCTCCAACACAATGATGTCATTATTGGTGCCTGGCATTCCAAAATACGCATGCCATATCCAAAGATCATAATCTGCTACAGCTTCAAGAATTATTGTTGGCAATCCACTACGTCCCGCATATTGCCCAGCCCATGCGGTAGGACAATTTTTCCACTTCCAGTGCATGCAATCTAGGCTACCAAGCATTCCTAGAAAACCTCGTTTTTCACCAATGTAAAGAAGTCTTGCAACATCATTGGCTGTTGGTGAGCGTAAGTATTGCTCCGAAAAAATATCCACTATAGCTCGACAAAAACGTTTCATGCTTTCGATTGCTGTTGATTCACCTATTTTAACGTACTCATCTGTGGCATCTGCTGGAAGCCCATACGCTAGCATCCGGAATACAGCTCTTCCTCTTTTAAGGGGTGACAGTCCAAGTCGACCAGTTGTATCCCTCCTTTGAGTGAAGTAGTTGTCATGACTTTCAACTGCGTTAATAATACGAAGAAATAGAGAACGAGACATACGAGACCTTCTGCGATACATAGCATCATTATACAGTGGAGTTTCAGAGAAGTAGTCATTGAACAATCTCTCATGTGCACTTTCTCGATCACGGTGGATGAAGGCACGTCTTCGAACCGAGTTGTCGTGGGTCTCATTGTTGCTTTGTTGATTGAGAAGGTATTGAATGATCAAGTTGTTATTAGCAATAGCAATTTGTATTGTTTGTTCTTCATGGTCAAGACTGTTGATCATTTCCATATTATCATCATCATCTGAAGATGATGATGAATCAAGAAAATTTGGAAGATTATGGAAATTAAAATTCATTTTGAGAGAGAAGATTTTGAATGAGCAAAGTAAAATGTGTTTGTAATATTGTGATGATTAGAATGTAGATTTAGTGATATTTATAGAAATATGATGAGTGAAAATGTGTAAATGTAGGTTTACATTTAATATGAGTAGTTGGAGAGATATAAAGAAAAATTTAGTTGAAGAAGAGAAAGTTATGTGTTGTTGTTTTCAATATGTATAGTTGAATAGAAATAAATGTGACAATTTAATGTAAAGTCTCTTGTCTAGTTGAATTTTCAAATCTATTTAAAATATGTAATAAATTAAGTTAAAGTTGTATGTGTAGTTGGAGTGATAAATGTGAGAATTTAATTTAAAATTTTATGTGTAGTTGGACTCATGAATGTGAGAATTTATTGTAGATTTTCACTAGTTAAACATAACAAGTACAATTGATTTAAGTAAGTAAAGGGACAACAATAGTGGATCCATTATTACACAATACTAAAAGTCAATTACCCAAACATTGATTTGCATTATTAAATGATATGTTCTAAATTTCTAATTCTGTATAGTTTTATCTCATTAGGTATCAATGTCTCATCATCAATTCGTTGGAAGTTGTCATGACTTTGGCTCTATCTTTGATGATCTGGTTTAGTACAATCAGATCAAATATTTTATTTTGTTGTTTTGGTTTCCGGGATAGTTAGCACGTTAGAAGTTCTCTAATCGTTGAATAATTTTATCACCAATAGAATAACCCCCAAACTGGATACTATTATATATCATTGAATTAGCTTTCATTTGTAGGTGGATAATGGATTAAGTGAATTTGTATAAGTGAATTTAAATTGTATGTTTGGGAGAGATTCTATGAACCACGTTATATTAATTTTACATCTGAATATTAATATGTATTTAAAATTCTAAGTTCAAACAAAAACTTGAAATCTTAGGTTATTAAATATAGTTTTAAATATGAATCTTAGGTTATGAAATCTTACGTACTTTATGTCATATAAATCTGTGACTTGAGTACTAGAACAGAAATCAACTGCATCCTCCTCCTCCATCATATATATTCTTGATTTCTTACAGATTTCCAAGAATTTTAAATAATTTCTATTTATAAGTTTAAATCGTTTTTTAATTTATTTATTTTAAAGTGTCTAAAAGTTAAATAAACGATAGCTACTTGATCACGGCCAGTTAGATTTGTGTGACAAAAACAAATAATTACTTAATGCATATAATAAGACAAGTAGCATTATTTGAAGTTACTTTCTCGACAACAAAAAAAAAAAAAGCAGCACTGATTACAGTATATATAGAGGAACATCAATATATTGATCCACTATTACACCAAACAAAAGTGAAATTTCCAAAGATCAATTTGCACTCTCTCCACCTCTAATAACCGCAACAACCATGGAGATAAAAGGACACACGCATAGTTTAGGAGGAGTTATATATCCTGGTGGCGGTTTGGAATGCGGTGCTTGTGATCGATCGTATAGTGATGGTTGCGATCCATCGATTTGCGAGGGCTTCCATTGCCTTATATGCGAATTTGAAGTTCACACGAAATGTCTTTTTGTGTTTAACATACAAGAGACATTGTTCGAGCACCCTCTTCACATTGGACATGGTCTCAAGCTTCTCACAACGGGGGCTCCTGATCACACCGATCCGAAATGCCATATCTGCGGTAAAAAAACCAAGCGCCTTCTTTTTCATTGTTCCATTTGTAATCTCAATTTGGACATCAGTTGCATGGTTGATGCCATGTGTTCCCAATCTCATCTGAATATTCCGTGGCACAATCATACTTTACTCATGCTTGATGTTGGTGATGATATACCATGCAAAGTTTGTGGTAAGCCCGGAGGATATGGCTACTGTTGCCCTCGCTGTTGGTTGATGGTTCATGAGAAATGCGTCGCCGTATTTGACTCACCAGAGATCACTCACTCTTGTCATACGAGACACTCTCTCAAGCTTCTCACCCAAGGAGCTCCCGGCTACACTGATCTAACATGTCATCTGTGTGGGAAAAAAACTGGAAACTTTCTTTATCATTGTGATATTTGTAAGTTCAACATGGATATGGCTTGTGCGATTCAAAGTCCCCTACCAGTGGCTCTTTCAAATCTGAAGGTCCATGAGCATACACTCAAACTCATCCCAAGATTGATCTCCTTCGTTTGCGATGCTTGTGGGAAAAAAGGCGACCGTTCTCCCTATGTTTGTCTTCAATGTGATCTCATGTTCTTTCATCAAGAGTGTGCTCGTTTACCACGGGTTATTCACGTGAATCGCCATGATCACCGCGTTTCTTACAAGTATCCTCTTGGTCTTGGAGAATGGAAATGTGGGATATGTTTAATAAAGATTGACTGGTCATATGGGGCATATTCTTGTTCCATATGTCCTAGTTATGCTCTTCATTCAAGCTGTGCGACGAGGAGAGACGTGTGGGATGGGGAAGAGCTTGATGGGGTGCCTGAAGAAGTTGAAGATATGGAGCCATTCATAAGGAATGATGACAACACAATCACTCATTTCGCTCATGAAGAACATAACCTCAGCCTCAACAATGACGGTATTGCTTTGGAGGAAAGCATCTTGTGTGGAGCATGTGTTCGTCCCGTTGGTTCTAACGCATTCTACAAATGTTCGGAATGCAGTTTTATCATCGATGAAACGTGTGCTAATCTTCCGAAGAAGAAACGACATTTTCTAAGCCCAAGAATTCTCACTCTACACCCCAATAGAGATAACACCGAAACAACATTTTGCGATGCTTGTCTTCAATGGTTCTGCGAAGGATTCATGCATACTGATGGAGGGAGGACTTATGATTTAATCTGCAGTTCGATGACTATGCCTTTTATTCATGGAAGTCATCCTCATCCATTACTATACCTCCAAGATAGTAGTATTGGTGACAGGGGGAGGTGCCAGAGTTGCCACGGGGGTTTATCTGACAAATTCCTTGCCTGTATCCAATGCAATTATTATTTGGATTTTCGTTGCGCCACTCTACCATTAACGGTAAGACTTGACAGGTATGATGATCATCCACTCACTCTTTGTTACGGAGAAAAGGCAAGCGGCAAGTATTGGTGCGATATTTGCGAAAGAGAAACAGATCCAGAGACTTGGTTCTACACTTGTGAACATTGCGGGGTTACTTTGCATGTTTTCTGTGTGCTTGGGAATCTCAGGTATGCCAAACCAGGAGGAAAGATCGAAGGAGACCTCGAAGGAGACCTCGAAGTGAGGTTTAACAATACATCTACACGGCCACTTTGCAACAACTGTCATTGTCGTTGCGCAGCTCCCTTCTTTTTTGTTAAGGAGAAGAAGAAGAAGGCATTTGTTGCGCAACAACAAATGAGATTAATATTTTGTTCTTACTATTGTTCGGAACGTAGCCAAATGAGGGCGTCCTGGATTAGAAGCATATATATATGTCCGCCATGGGTAGATCGTCGTACTTAAGCTTGTTGGCTTAAAGCTAGTTGAAAATAAATGTGGCTTTTTTTCCTTACTAATAATAAAATAAGATTAATATCTAAAAAAAGTACCATTTTCTGATAATATGAGCACAAATTTATAGGTTTGATAATATTATTTCTTTATTTTATTGATTTTTCTCAACTAGGTTTCTTGTTTTTTATTAACCTTTCTAACTTTTTTTTCTGCCATCTAAACCACAATGAAAGTTTTTATTTGCACCACACTTATATTTCTCGTAATTCCTAATTTAAAAGCCATGAATTAATAACACTAAACTAACGGAGCTTCCACTACCCCTCTTAATCAACGAAATAGAAGCAGCGATGGTAATGAGACTTTTCCTTGATGGAACTTGACTCTTCCTTCGAAGAAGAAGTGTGATACTGCTAAGGAAATTTTCGACTCCCTGTTCTTTCATCAGGACCTTTCTCCTCCTTTGGGACTGGACAATCTTATGGTGTGGATCCAATCTGTTTTTCAGAACAAGAGGTTGAAAACTATCTCTAACCTTGTCCTTCAGTCGGATTTTTATTATGTGTGGAAAGAGAGAAGCTCAAGACTCCATAACTCAGCTTCCAAGCCTGTCCAGCTAATTGTAAAGGACATACGCTTAGCTTGCGGGAATGGATCGAGCCAATCTTTCCAATTTGTGTTCTCTTCCAAATGGTCCAAATGGTTCTTCCTCATCACCTGATTCCTACTTATCTACGTGGTTCCAATTCTTCCAGCCATAGCTTCTTCCACCAACATCGTTGTGCATCATTTAAGGTTAAGGTTCTGCTGCTTCTGCGTTTCATCTGTCTTGCGTATTAGTATTATAAGTAATTTATCTCTTTCTTTCCTTATATTCCGGTTAGATAGTCCTTTTCACATGCTCTTATTTGAATGTAATTTCAAAACATGCCTCTGTGGGGAAGAAGTCGAAGGTGAATAAAGTGAAAGGTTAAAAAATATAACTAATTTTCCTCTTTTTTTCTTTCGTTTTTCAAACTAATTTTAAACAATACAAAGGAAACTATGTACTAACCTGCATCCTACGCGGGATGAAATATTTATAATTAAAGGTATCATCGTCGACTCAATGTGAACTGTCATGACTTGGCTTCTGCACTCGCTAATCAAATCTTATAAATCATTGCTTTCCGGGGTAGTGATTTTCAGAAATTTAATTTAAAAGAACAAAAAAAACAGGGAAAACTTAGACTTAAGAGTTAGACAAGCAAAAGATAAGATAAAGGAAGTCGAATTGAAAAATAAAAAATTAAATAAAAGAAATCGAAAAAGGCAGAAAAATCCTAAGAGCATGTACATCAAAGGATCAAGAGGGGTTCATGGCACGGTTTTTGAGACAAAAGATTTTAATATTAAAGAGACAGTATCATCCCGACGAACCTGAAGAGACGGTATCATCCCAAATGAAGCATCCTGATTGGTCGAAAATTATAATTTTCGAATTAAAAAAAAAAAAACTAAAACCAAAAAAAAATTATTATTATATTTTAGTGAACATCTCTTTTAGGGATTTACTGATGTAGATGCTCTAAGCACAAAAGGTTCAACTGGTTGACATGGAAAAAGAAGCAAGAGAATCTTATGCGATGAGCACATCTATTTATTAATACATTGGTATTTATATTGTTCCCAAAAGTTTATTGGCAAACTAACACAATTTATATGATAAGAGACAAGGAAAACATAAATCACGTAACCCTTTTTCAAAAAAAAAAAAAAAAACATAAATCACGTACAATATTGTTTAATCGGGAAGCTGAGCTGTCATGACTTTCGCTTCTATCCTCCGTCTTCTGATTTGGTAATGACTTTAATTTGAAAGAATAAACAGAGACTAAAGACGTGTCTACTAGCTCTTTTATTGGTAATTAGGTGAATAACCACACATAATATGTGTGGGTATTGTTTTTTCAATTATTTACAATTTATATATTTTATATTTTTCTAATAAAGACATAATCATCAATTGCTATATTATTATAAATCAATCAATTTTAAATATAATATCATTCAAAACTAAAAGTTTTATACCAAAAACCATCAATATGTTTAATTAATTATAACATAAATTCTTATTTAATATTTACATAAATGTTGTTTGAAAATTAATTAATAAAAAAACTTTTCATATTATTAACAAATCAAAAGTTTTATACAAAAAAATCATCAATATTTTTAATTAATTATAACATAAATTCTAGTTTAATATTGACATAAATGTTAATTAAGAATCAATTAATAAAAAAAAACTTTTTCGTTTTCTTTGAGTGGTTAAAAACTTAATATTAAAATTTATTAATTAATTTTTTAAAAAAATTATAACTTTAAATTAAAAATTGACACATATCATCTTTATATTAACTTTAAAATGCTGAGGTGTCAGTCATATGGAGAGAGTTGGTCATCTTTTATATATAAGATATCTTTACAAATAAAACTAAACAAAGACTAAATACGTGCCTATTAGCTCTTTTGTTGGTAGATTTGTCAACGTAAATATTTAATATAACAAGTACCAATTGATTTAAAGTAGGTAGAAGGACAATAATAGTGGATCCATTATTACACAAAACCAAAAGTCCAACTATCTAAACATTGATTTGCACTTCTCTTTATCTCTGATAAGCGCAAACTGGCCATCCTCTGGAATAAATGGACTTTGGAAGGACACGAGCATCCTTTGTGCCGGATTAGCAATGGTGACGGTTTGGAATGCGATGCTTGCGATGGGTCCTATCGCGATGGCTTCTTTTGCGATGAATGCAAGTTTACTGTTCACAGGAAATGTGCCTTTGTGTTTAACACACAAGAGACATAATTGGAGCACCCTTTTCATCTTGGACATGATCTCAAGCTTCTCACAACAGGGATTCCTGGTAACACAGATCCCAAATGCCATATCTGCGGTAAGAACACCAAGCGTCTCCTTTTTCATTGTTCCGAATGTAATCTCAGTTTGGACATTGATTGCATGGTTGATGCCATGAGTTCCCAAGCAAATCTGAAGATGTCGTGGCACCATCATCCTATGCTCTTGGTCAATTTTAACGATTGTTTCAAATGCGATTTTTGTGGTTTTACTAGTGCCGGCAATGGCTACTTCTGCCCTCTTTGTAGGTTGGTGGTTCATGAGAGCTGTGTCTATGTATTTGACTCACCAGAGATCACTCACGATTGTCATGCCAAACACTCTCTTAAGCTTCTCACCCAAGGAGCTCCCGACTACACTGATCTCAAATGTCATCTGTGTGGGGTTAACACTGGGAACTTACTTTATCATTGTGATATTTGTAAGTTCAACTTGGATCCTGATTGTGCGATTAGAAGACCACCACCAGTTTATCTTTCAAATCTGAAGATCCATGAGCATACACTCGTACTCATACCAAGATTAGTGTCATTCGTTTGTGATGCTTGTGGGGAGAAAGGCGACCGTGCTCCTTATGTCTGTTTTCAATGCAATTTCATGATCCATGGATATTGTGCTGATTTACCACGTGTCATTCACATCAATCGCCATGACCACCGAGTTTCTTACACGTATCCTCTTGGTCCGGGAGAATGGAAATGCGGAGTTTGTTGGGAAGGCATTGATTGGTCATGTGGGGCTTATTCTTGTCCAAACTGTCCTCATTATGCTGTTCATTCAAGATGTGCAACAAGACCTGACGTGTGGGAAGGGGAAGAGCTTGATGGAGTACCTGAAGAAGTTGAAGATATTGAGCCATTCAAGACGAATGATGACAACAAAATCACTCATTTCGCTCATGAAGAACATAATCTGAGCTTTGAAAAAGATGGTATAGCGTTGGAGGAAAGCGTCTTTTGTGATGCATGTGCTCGTCCCATTGGCTCTAACACGTTCTACAGCTGTTCGGATTGCAGTTTCATTCTACATGAAACATGTGCTAATCTTCCTAAGAAAAAACGACATTTTCTCAGCGCAAAACCTCTTACTCTCACGTACGGCGGAGAATCTCTTCGGACTAATGAATGCTATGCTTGTTTCCAACGTTTTGGCGGAGGATTCAAGTATAGAGACAAATATGGCGAAGTCGTCGACTTACTATGCATTTCGATAACTGAGCCGTTTGTCCATGGAAGTCATCCTCATCCTTTATTCTACATCAACGTAGAGCATGATGAGGAGCTAACGAAGACATGTCAGGGTTGCGGCATACGTACAGAAGAAATGGTCTTAGGTTGCACCAAATGCAGATTCTTCTTGGACTTTCGTTGCGCCACTCTACCATTAACGGTAAGACTTGATAGGTATGATGATCATCCACTCACGCTTTGTTACGGCGAAAAAGCAAGTGGTGAAAAAGCAAGTGGCAAGTATTGGTGCGATATTTGCGAAAGAGAAAAAGATCCAGAGACTTGGTTTTACGCTTGTAAAGATTGTGGGGTCACTTTGCATGTTTTCTGTGTGGTTGGGGATTTCAAGTGCGCCAGATCAGGAGATGTGTTCGACAACGAACATAAATTGTTGTCTAATAGTGGATCTTCACGACCAACTTGCAGAAACTGTCATTGCCACTGCCCAGGACCTTTCACCCTTCGCAAAACTGGGGAAAAGGAAGAATCCTTCTGTTCTTTATATTGTTTTATTCATTTCAAAGAACCGTTTAGGGTGAACACCAAGACCGTAAAGCTCATCCTCCCTCCATGGGTCAATGAACCCAAGACTTGAAGATCTGGTTATATTCATAGTCTTGGACTCATCTCCTTCAAGGTACCTATTGGTATCATTTCGATTTGTAATTTGTCATTCCGATTTAATATCAAACAAGCATTTTAAAAAAAAAAAATGGAAAAACATATTCATGCATGCAGCATGCTATACGTGAAGCATGTAGACTGT